CTTCAAACAATGATTCAATTTACAAATGCACTGTACTGGTACATATACAGAGGGACACCATGTCCTTTGAAATACAGGTACACTTGCACAGAATCCAGTCTGTGAGGAGCTGACTTCATTGGTTCCCAAACAATTTGTGATCACTTGAGATACATTAGCCTAAGTAGGGTGTGCATATGCAGCATGTACCGGTATGGCGAACTCCCAACATGTGGAAATTGTTCACAGTTGGACACTGTCTAATGTTTTGACTTCTAAACATATCAAATGGAAGCTGAAAGTGGTGTGAATGTAAATTCTATCAACAGAAGTACATGTACATGTATAAAGAACAAGTTCAACTGGCACTGGCTAGAATAAGAAAAAATAGGGATGAATGTTTCGTTTAGGACTATGTTACTTAGGCTTGACAAAAGACTGAAAAATTGCATGGTGCATTGTGTATCGCCTAATTGTCCTTTTGCTAGTGAGCTATCATTGGCCACACGTTTCATGCCAGCAAAATACATGTAGATGCCAGATTCTTTCAACAGGACAAATTGGATTGATCATCTGAAAAAGGGTAGGATACTCCGGTTTTTTAAGCCGTTGCTGTTCAATACCTTATGCAGCCATTTTTAGTGAGATCCATGCGCAATTTTACCTGTATTTTCAGGTACATGTACTGGTACATGTTCATGAACTTTACATCTATTTTACCAAATTTCAAAATTTTCCAGCCCGAGACTGAGAACCCACTAGCATATACATGTACATGTAGTGTACACATCTAATTATTTTAGAATGTAATTTTTGCTCTGAAAATGATTTGAAGACCACTGTTGAAGACATGTTACATGTAGTTCTATTGTAGGCCAACATTTCTTTCTCAATATTCACTGATTTCATGCAACTGTATTGTGTTGTATTGTAAAAAAAAAATGGTACACAAAATTAGGCAATTGCTATACAAACAAATATGGCACAGCAGTGTTTACCATGAAAACATTTCAAGGAAATCCAGGAAAATGGTGACTGTGTACATGTTTTACACGCACACCTACATGTACATCTTCCACTTGCAAGTCACTGAAGAAACCCACTCAGTACATGAACAATGAGCATACATGTATGTACAGTGCATGCACATGTACTAGTACAACATACACGCATATGTACATGTACATAGTGTATGAAGTTCATGTACAGGTACCGGTACATGTACGTGTATGGTAGTACGGTACATGTATACATGTATGTGCAGTATGTAATGGTACATGTAAATGTACATACAGTGCACATGTACATACTACATACATGTACCGGTACGTGTGTACATGTACATTCCATACATGGCACTACATGTATGAGGCTAACTTATGATAGCCAGACTGCAGGACACACCAAGTACAGTATGCACACATTGTGCATGCATATGTACAGGTACATGTACCATTAGCCGTGTCCGACTACAAACATGCCGGTACCATAAAGTACCCAGTACTTGGCTGAGGCTTGAAATCACACAAGTCTACAGTGGTGGCTTCAGCAACTTTCAACAGACCGAGTGTAATTCAAGCCACGGCCTAGTACTTCAAAAGCCTCCAAACGTGAAAAGCATACACATTTAATTTTTATCTGAATGTACACAAACGAATAGCATCCTTGCAGTTGAATGTGCATGTCCTGTACCTAAATGAGTGAGAAATGCATGTGCCTAAATACATGTACAGTATGTGCATAATCTTCTCTTTTCCACGACTGAGCAAAACACTGCATGAAATCTTTATCCAACAGAATTAACAAGAGCTCTGCAAATGGGTGATCTGAACACCTGCGCTCAGAAAGCAATCATGAAAGAGTGCATGTACAGGTACATAAAGCTGGTGTGTTTCTAGGTTAGTTTCTCTAAGAAAACCAGAGCAATTAAATGTATGTACAGTTGAATCTCAATAATAAAAGAGGTCCTTCAGACTTTGAAAATTACCGGTACCTTGTCATAACAGGAAACCTGCATTAGCAAGAATGAAAAAAATTATGAAAAATGCTCCCACTAACGAGGTTCAATTGTACTTTGTTTGCGTACATGTGTACATACAAGCATGCACTTTTGTATGATCACAATGATGTATGCTATACATTATACATGTACATGTACAGTAGTGAATACCCATACCAGTACATGTAAATATACAACATGCTCCAGACATATCCAAGACAATTAAAAAAGTAATTTCAAATGAATTCTTGAGAAGGAATCTGATACAGTAATTACATTGAATCATGGTTCTGAGTCTAAAGATAGTCTGCAAATACAGTGTTTGGAATCAACACAAGATGAATGAAAATCTAAACAATGAATTACCGTGGTTGCTGCAAAAGAGTGGTTAATACATACATGTACATGTACATCCATACTATAAAAGAGAACATGTCTCTCTGACTCCACGAAAATGTTTGAACTTAAACAAATAAAGTACTACTGAAAAATTCAACCTTTTTCTTTTCAGTCAGGAGACTAAGAGTTACCGTAGGCAAAGCTGGAGATATAGATAAGGTTTGGATTTTGAAGAACTTGGTCTTTGAGTCATCACGAAAGGAACAGTGGCTCCAACACATTACCATTCTGTTATCTTTCCAGCAGCAGAAACCAGGATTTTTTTTGAGTTAAGCTACATGAAGTTATCAACTGCAATCATCAACAGATAATATTGTGTTCACAATTCTTACTAGGCTCCTTAACTATAACACCCAATACTTAGCAATTTCAAGTGATTTTGGAGTGAAACATTTCGAGCAACAAAGTACTGGTACAAACATGGCAGCACCACCCATGCAGCTCTACTGGCCACCATTCTGTTTGCATCATTTGAGCAAATGAAAGATGGCAGCCTCCACTCTTCTTGAAAAGTTGCTGTTTTCCTGCCACAATCTGGACATGAATTCGCTCTTCTTTATAATCATGTAATGAGAGATGGGAGATTCTTCTGAGTACATGTATCAATACATGTACATGTACTTCTTTGAAGCCCTACATACATGTAACATTTTCAGGAGTTTGATTGCTCTTGATAATTTGTCAACATTGATCATGTTTGTTAGTGCTTTTTGACACCTATTAAATGTATTATGACCATTATTTTCCTGTCAAGTTCATTTTAAAGTGACTGTTTCATGAATCATTTGTAAAATGCCATTCATCCGATTCCTATAAAAGTACATGTACTGGTTCCCTGCTCACTGGCACAGAAGACAGAGTAATAGGATCACCTTCATCATACTATGTAGGCAACAGAGTCCCGGGATGTCTTCCAACAAGGACTGGTCATGCACACACTGCACAGCCAATGGTAAACACACAGGAACCTGTTCACACAAGTGGTGCGTCGCCACCACAGGGATGATTCGGATAGTGTTAAACACATAGCTTTGGTTGATTGATCCACCAGCACAAAGGCATGGCAGGTGTTTGGAGCAACAAAGTAGCAGTAAAGCCATGTAAAACAAAATTATTTACAATATGGCAGCAAGTGCTGGACCCTAATCTGGTCCCTTATCGTTCTTGCTGTCTCACCGGCATAGCACTGATCATGCGCTCCATCCATTTTCGGGGCCGGGACTTCATCTCGTTCCATGATTGTCTGCCTCACCATTGTCACTTCATATTCACAAGTACATGTACCGCTATGACAAGATGGGATTTAGACCTACATGTAATTAAAATTCAGACTTGATTTTCCCTTTGAGGAACCCTCCAGAGCCAACATTTAGGAAGAGAAAATGAAAATATATGAAAATATTATTGCAACTTTATTTTTTGCGGGAAAAACAAAATCAAGAAGGTGTGCTCTTCTGGGATTCGAACCTGGCTGGTGAACTGTTTAGCCCCAACTATGCCAACCAGGCCTTCAGCCCCAATTACAGTTGTGCCCATCCAAGCTATAGTGCAACAGGAGTTGGGGCCGGCCCAACTACAACACAAAGGTGCAGTGTATAAATGTGCTATGTGCCAAAGTCATTTTGTTTACAAACACAACTCGTGCTTGCAGAAACAAGTTTTTATTCATGTCACAGACAGTCTCTCACAAAAGAAGTGCCAGATTTTGAAGGAAATGTGTCAGGTGTGAGCTGCACAAGGACATGTGGGAGAAGCATGAGAAATTTTATATATAGAAATTTGCCACAGCACTCTGGTTGGGAGTGTTGGACATATAGTTGGGCCAGACGCTACACATATAGTTAGGGAGTAACAATTCTAATTTATGCACGTGTTCTTAATCACTAAACAAAAGCTCATTTCAAATGGAAAATTTTTATACCTTGTTAGCCCATAGTATTATGTAGTCGTTACGCCCTAACCATAGCATCTGTCCCAACTATAGCTGGGACAGTCCCAATTGTAGTGCTGCAGTTGGGCTGGCCCGCCTATTATTGACCAATTTCTGTAGAAAATTTCTCAACCTTATCCAAGTTTATGCATCCAACACTTGACATAATTCTATCTAAGTTACATTACATTGTAACATTATGACTTTGGCTTATGCTTGGCACATGCACACTGGACCTCTGTGCTGTAGTTGGGCTGGCCCAACTACAGCACTCTAGTTGGGATGGGCCCCACTATAGTTGGGTCGGTCCCAATTATGGGGCAGCATGGACATCCGGGATTCTCGCAAAATGACAGGTACTGCGCTGCCAGTCTGAGGATCGGGTTATACAATCTTTTCTTTGATCAGTACGCAACCGCTCGTTGCAGTTGTTTTCACCGGTGCGGTATAGTTGCTACCCGTATATTTGTGACACTCCTAGATGTTCGCACTGCCCCATAGTTGGGACTGATACTGTAGTTGGGGCATAACATAGTCAACTGATAATTCTTGGCTCTTATACAACACGGGAAGTAAATGGCTTCCCAAAAGACATGGTTTAAACAAACTTCAGGATCGGTTCATGGAAATTATAATCCCTACAACGTCATCCCTACACTTTGTCAAGGGACAATAACTCAAAATTTATCTTACCCTTTATTAAAGCCAGAGGCTGCAGTTCTATGCTGTTCTTCGACCGATATTTCGATGAGCCTTGTGACTTTTTCTGTTTCCCCTTTCGCATTGACTTTTTTGTGAAGGGGTCGATTTTGTCCACTGCTGGCCCAGCTGACATTGTTTTTTCACTACGACTGGTGTGGGGTTAGCTGCTTGCTAATTGTGACACCATTGGCCGACTTATCTCCAATTGCCTGGATCTGGTAAACCGTCAAAACCATCAAACCCGCATTCCAATACACGAACACGCACACAGTATGTCAGTGTCAACTCAACAGCATGGTAATACAAATGCAATGGAACAAGAATACACCCGATATTCGACAGTACTCTACGGACAAGAAATGACAACGTTACTCAGGTTCATCCGTGTCAAAAATCCTCAGCATCAGATCCAGCTCCAAGTAGGAACATTCCGAATTTTAAAAACTCTACAAGTGCACGGGACTTAACTAAGGAGCATAAGGAATGGTATTTTTACGAAAATGCTTGAAATTAGTTCTTGTTTCTGCATATTTTTACATGGACATGGTGGAGCTGTAGAGTTTGTGTTGCTATCTGTTGGCCGTGAGGTCATACCATGTGACGAAAATGCAGCTGTATGATTGGTTGAAAGGCAGGAAACTCCCGGATGATAGCGGTATTCATGACGTCATCGGTACAGAGGTCATTATCTGGACAAAAATAATGTACACAAACTGTCCCATGCATGGAAAACATACCCCACCTAGGCCGTGCGCCTACCCTGCGCAAGCACTTAGGTGTTAGTTCAGCTGATTTCATTGAGGCGTGTGTATTGGTTCATTTATCTCTTCACTAATCATCCAACGAATGGTCTGGAACCCAGTTTTTTCTTTCTGTTTGCCTGAATTAACAACACATAGCGTTTCAGTTATGAAGTTGCATGTGCGTTTCATGTTCTTGGCTTCTTTTTCTCTCCTTTTTCAACGTTACAAGTTAAGAGGTGTAAAATGTGACGCTTAATTTTTCTTTCATTGCAGGTTAATCTTAAAGTCATGATTTCTCTACTACCGTGAAGATAATAGACATTTAGTTTCAAGATTTTGTTTTGTTACATCTTTGTCAACACTGAATGAAAAGTTAGAAAGTGGAAATTTCTTACCGCGCGCGTCATCATGTTGCGTGAACCATGGGGGTGCAAAAAAGCAAGTCTTTGGCCTTCAGCGAGATTGAGCTTTTTGTCAAGATATGTATGAACTTCAACCGATGATGTGGTGGATGTTTTAGGCTTCATAATTCGATGGCGTTCAATTGTACATGATTAATTAAGTGCATTTTTTTAAAGTACGTATTTTAAAAAAGTACCAGAACTAACATGAAGTGCGCCCTCATTTACAAGTCTCGTTTCATACCCCCCGCCCACCAGAAAACAAGGCCGCGTTCGAATCAATTGGCTGCAGCCTGAAATTACACACGACCCTACGGGAACTTCCAGCTGCCTACCATCGACTGGTGGGTACATTCTAGCCGCAGTGAAGTACATTTGAAATTTAGAAGTCGGCCCAACGTTGAGGAAACTGGAGAGTGCCAAGGATGTGATCTATTGTGTACAGAGCTCCAATAATATCTTTCAGCACCATTTTCTGGGGGCTGTCATTTATTATCGAGCAGCCACCACATAATCTTTTTTTCTGGCAGCCATCACATAATCTTCTAGATAACAAAATTGGGCCAACAGAAAATGATGCCAAAATATTCAGGCGCAGTTCAAAAATAAGTGCACATCCTATCCCTTATTGGCCCATTCCGGCTTTCCGTAGTAACCGTCGGGAAATGCACTTTCCCCTCATTGTAAGTCCAGTTTCCCGAGTCGCATCAGCCTTGCAATAAGGCAATGGGAGAGAAGGGAAGCAGTGGCATCTGGTGATGAAGTGAGTGACTGAAAAAATTCCTCAGTTGTCACGTCATAATTCAATGAAGCAAATTGGTGACTGAGATAGTAATGATGGTGACTGACGACAGTAGGTGTGACAATGCCGGCGGCGGTCGTGGCGATGGGCACCCAAGGACGAGAACGCAAGAAGGTGTAACTCTGTTGTGTTTCATCCGGTTGTCTTCACTGAGTCCTCTATTGGGAATCTGCATCCTTTCCCCACAAGACTGGTACACTGCCTTGTGTGACTTACTCGTGACTTTCCTCTTGAATTTGTCTAATGATATCCTCAACTGCAACCTATATCAAGTAAAATCACGCATTATTATCCTTAACATGCAGTCAGAAAAAAGCTATCTTACATAGGCCCTACACGCATTACTGAGAGTGCCATAATGGTGCTGCGAGTGGGCGCTTTCTCTCACGCACCCACCCCCTCAGAAATAAAATAAATAAGGAAGGGGGAGGAAAGAAACCAGGGGTAAAAAGAATGAAAGGAGGTAGAACGTACCAGTTTGCTGGTGTCACCGTTGTCCGTCAATTTGCTGCCGATGAATGCTCTCCCTACAAAAACCTCGAGCAATAATGGAATTCCAATAGACCTTTTCCAACTTTCTAATAAACCAATACAAAGTGAAATGATACAGATTACATGTATAATAAAGTGATATAGCGATACAAATTTGAAATAAGTGGAATAGACAGTGCATTAATATAAGGGAGGAAAAGTTCGTTGAAAGTAAAAGGAATAATTTGTTTCCCTTTCATAATGGGTTTTTTGTCTTACATTGACGTATATATAAAATACACTCAATGCACAATTGCCTAAAAGCTTGCGAAAAACTCATAAACTTTACTACGTTGAGGCTCAAACCCACGACCTCCTGCTTACAATGCAGACGTAACTACTCGACAACCGAGCTTGCCGGGTGGGAAGTCAGGACCAGAGTACATATTTGTTCCCTCCCTGTATCGGATATCGCTAGCTGTTTGGCGGGTAACGTCTCCATATCTTTCGAACAACGATCCTCGTGATATTTTTAAGATGATGGAAAGCAAAACATTTTTGGGGGTTTTGAAGCGTACATTTGTTTATTTTAAGGCTGCAGAAGCGGCCATTGGATTACATGTTGCCATAGCACCTAAGCCCAAAATAGTCAGTTTTGTACAGTTCTTCCCTTAAAGTGGGCATGGTTTCTATGGTACCAAATATCAACAATCCAAATTGCTTTCTTGAATACTTGAAATAAACGACACGGAACGCTCGTTGTTTGGTATGCCACTGCGGTTTCGAGGCGTAAAACAATAATGTTTAAAAAAAGGACAGGAAGATGCTGATTCCACAGAGAGGGCCAAATTTATAAATACGTTAATATATTTTTCGTTTCTAAGTGGCAGAATAATGTTCCTTTGGGAGGCAGCTGATAACTTTGCTCAAAATATTACACAAGTAACTGTGAAAAAGTCCCATAGAGCAAACGAAACATTACTTTGAGGGCAGATAACCAGGCTGATTTAATGAAGGACTATTTGTACTTCAGTGTTTTTTTAAAGAGCACCCCAATTTGATGTGGATCTTCTTCAAGATGCCCGAATCCGACTATCACCACCGTTCATCGGCGGCGGAACGATTTTCGAAAGGGGGGGGCAGTTGTTAGACCATCAGGCACCAGCCATTAAAAGCTCGATCCATCGAGCTTCACCCACAACTATAGGACTTGCAAAATGTTGGGGGGGGGGCAACCCCCAGTTGAAAACGTGAGGAGCACTGCCCCCCCCGCTTCCGCCGCCAGTGCCACTGTTGATGAATGAATTCTTTACACCAAAATGCCAAATTTGGAACTGGAAGTGGTTTGTCATCATTTTTGCGAAATGGGTGGCAGGCGAAGTGAGACTCAATTCGATAACGCGTTAAAGTAAGCATTTTCCAAGGCTACGAGTTTGGACAGTAAATTAAGTAACTTTCCTGAATCGATCTCTTCACACAGGAAACTGACTGAAAAAAATGTAAGATTATAACTACAGACATCCCTAATAATCCTTTTCCTTACAATACGCAAACCAACTCGACCGAAAGCACCCCTTTTCCTGCTTTCGTGCCCCCTACCCCCACATGATACTACAGCTGTGGCCTTGTTCAGGGTGCCCATTATATTTTTCAGTACTTAGACTTATACAGTGGCAGTGTACATTACTAGGGTGCTTTAACAGTATGCTTTATTTTTAGAGGCGAGTAGTCGGATAGGGTCTCGTCTTCCACTTATTCATCAAAAAAAGTTCCAACGGAGTATTTGTATTTCATAACCTAGAAAATACCAATTTTTGCCTCAATTAATAGGTGACATTCAAGTTTGAAAACAAAGTTTGTCAATATCCACACAGCAATTGTTTACATGTATCAGTTTTATTTACGCCCGTTTCAAAACTATTTTGAATTTGGAGTTTACAGTAACAAACATGTATGTGGATAACTTTCAGTAAAGATATATACATGTACATGTATTTGACAAAATTATCGACAAAAATGTTTACCAGTATTGGTTACAATATAATGGCACAGTACATGAATTACAAATTACATTTAGCATTTACTGCATGGTTAAAATGCTTAGGCGTTTGGACAGGTGTAGTCCATGGTATTCATGACGTCCTTTCATACACAACCTTTACTGCCATGGGTCAACATCTGAAACCTGTTTCTTGGACCTGATAGAGTGGCTTTTATCCTAGACAGCTTACATTTTTTGTTATTGCCTTTGAAAAAAAATCTGCAAGGGTTGAAATGCAAGTTGACTATCTCTCTCTGTGTATTTGACAGTAAATCAACTGCCACCATTGCTCCTTCAATGTTAAAGTTGCTGCCCATTTTGCAAGTTCAACTTAAAATATAAATGAAACACTTCTGTTGGAAATGTGGTACATAAGATTAATTTCATGTTGATGGCAAACATCAATTTATGATGAGTATTCTGAGTTTCTCTGGTGAAACCTCACGCAAACTTTACTTTTTGTGTTTTGCTTCATCTGACCAGAATGGTTACCTATGATTAAAACCCAACAACAGCCACACTCTTTCAGGTTAGGCAATAACCTCAAAAGAAGGCTGCTGAGCTAAGCTGTACTACCAGACCAAAAGGATGAAAAAACAACTCACAGACAAGACAGGTTCTTCATGTTCATCTACTCCACTAGACAGTAAACGTTTATAATCTGTGTGACAAGGTATGTGGGGAAGGCTGACCTTCAATGTTAAGGAACAAGCACATGGAAATATGGGACTTAAAATAACTATCTTTCTAAAAGGTTTACTTATGAGGAATTGGAAGGCCTGAAGGGGCAGTCCTCTTACAATGTTTTTTTGCATATACAAAGCTGATGTGTTTGTTACTTTGTGTATCACCCCTTAAGGATCGGTGGTCTTTGATGAAGTTCAATATAAGTGTTGTAGCTGAGACCTCTTGAGACCTTCACATGACCTCCAGTCTGAATACGTGTCGGGGGTTAATCAAATGAGCTGCAACCAAAGAATTCCTTTGTCAATGGTCACCCTGTCACCTATGACTAAGTTTGAAGCTCTTCTTATGAATGGTCTTGCATCTTGTCTCTTGTCTGGTCTTGTGATGGTCTTAACTACAACACTTGTTTAATATTTCTACAAAGTGGCCATCACAAGTTGGTCCTTGTAAAATGAACTTGCAGTGCAGTTTGAATACAAAAACGCAAGCATGCAAAAAGGCTTAAGATGGGTCAACACTGTTACGTGGACAAAGAAGTCATACGACTTCACATCTGATAATTTATATTATTGCTAGAATAGAAACACCCACACCACTTGTGTGTCATATCCTCACAATGCAGAGTACATTACATGCACTTAAAACGTTCATTCATATGTATACACATGGTTTATTCGTGCATGCTCCATGTTGCAATCTTACTGATTTAAATCTCCAAACAAAAGGAATTCACAGTTTGCTGTATTTCAAATGCCCACACTGTTGATTTCAGCAAGAACAGTGAAATGCTACTTGAGATCAGAAAGTCCTTTTCATGGCAAGGGATTTGTTCACCATGAGAATTTGACGATTCAAAGCGGATACAGAAATAAGCCAACCATTTTTGTGTGTGTGATTATTCGGGAACTGTACATAGTTAGCATTCATGTTTTTTTTTGTTGGCTCATAATGACAGTGACTACAACTACACTACATAACTGGGATAGAACTCCTAGGTATGGCATATGGTATGCATGATGTCATGGGAGTACAAACACCAACGTTCCAAGAGAGATACTTATACAAAGTAGGACCACCTCATATTCTACGGCTGTTCTAACCGGGACAGAGACAGAAAGATCTAGACATTCCCTGCATGTTCAAAATGGAAACAATAAATGAACATCCGGGATCCTTGGCTGTTCCTAATGGGAACAGTGCAGGAACACCTGGCATCCATGGCTGTTCCTAGTGGAAACAGTCCAGGCACACCTGGCATTCCTTGGCTGTTCCTAATGGAAACAGTGTAGGAACAACTGGCATTCCCAGGCTGTTCCTAATGGGAACAGTGCCCAAACACCTGGCATTCCTCGGCTGTTCCTAATGGAAACAGTGTAGGAACACCTGGCATTCCCTGGCTGTTCCTATCGGAAACAGTCTAGGAACACCCGGCATTCCCTGGCTGTTCTTGGGGGAAAGAGAGTGTTTTCTAGCCATAAACAGGCCGAGTTCATAAACAGTCTCAGCATTCCGAGTCTGGTAATGGCCAATGTTGCACTACTCAAGTTCCTCCTCCACAAGGGCGCTTGATGCCCCGCCCATACCTGATGCTGCTGCTGCCGCTATTGCCGTTGATACTTTCTGGAAGGAAAAAGAGACAAAAAAGTAAAAACTCACGATCTAGATGACTGGGACAGGAATCGTACGATCCATTAATCCTATGCATTTATAAAATCTGGGAGGGAAGAGGCAATGAGGGGAACAGTGGCTTCCCAAGGGACACAAAAAATACACAGCCCCCTGGATTCCATCCCCTCATCTTCTGATCAAGAGTCAAAAACCATTACCACGGGGCCACACTACCCTTTTTTGGGTGTAAAGTGAAAACAACTCTAGAAACCCACTCACTTAACTTGTGAATACTGGGGAGCAACGGGCGATGAATGATCACGACCAATGGTTTTTTATTTCAACAATAATCTCAGATCCGAAGTTTAGCCTTACATACGATATTAATCGTTATAATGGTGTAAAGAGGTCTTCATCCACTTGTTTTACATTTATGCACACATGTGATTATGTCATCATCAGAAGATGAAACAAACATACAATATTTTCTCCATAATTTGCAGACACTTAACAATTGAACACCATTCGTAAATACCTCAATCTCCCTATACAAAATGTGCAACTTGACTGTGTATTAACATCTGATCATGCCTACTGAGAAGTGATAATGCCTGCTGCATAAATCACACACTGGCCCCTGGATACAAGACAGTTTAATCAATTCTGATTGGTCAAGAGTCTGTGTGCACGTGGCTCGCTAAGCACATGCCAAGTCCATATAAGGAGATTCTTTAGGACAACTATAAAATAAACTGGATGGGGTTGCTCAGGAGAATGAAAGTCAAATTCTGCAACAAAATAATTGGAAATCAATCATATTGACTTTTTTTGACTTTCTGACTCAAAAGGTATTTATGAATGGGAATAAATATGTGCTTGGCCGGTCTTAAACTAACATTTAAGGCTGGTTCAGGAGACCGAATGCTGATAAAGCCCTCACCAGCAGCTTGGGCATTAGTTATGTCCATTCTCCTTAGCTAGTCTGAAATGCATGTTTAAGACCGGTCAAGCACATGTTTATTCCCTTATTAATCTGCAGAGAATTCCAGCCCTTCCTTTATGAAGGTTTGTGCTTCATTGCAACTCTTTGGGTTTTCCTTCCCCACCTTCTTCAAATCTACAATTTGCTCTATTAAAAATGACAAATCATTTCTGAGCGGTCAAGAACCATCTCTTCCACTGGTATTAAAAGGACTGGTCTCTACGTACATCATTGACGGCTGGTAGCTTCTCTACAAGCAGGTTGTAGACCGGTAGGGGGAGCGTCCTCTGCAACACCTCCAGCAGATGGGCAGGCTGGCCACAGACCGATACAGCATGGCACAGACACTCAGTGCCATTATCCAGGTCACCTGTCAAATAAATATTACCCCTACATGTACATTACTGGTAATGTCACAACTACAAACTGCTAAAAGCAGTTTTGACACAATGATACGTCACACACACTGCATAGGCTGCACATATGTTGGATCCACGGTTAGCCTTTACTAGTGTATATTGACCACTTTTGGAAGCAGGCGTTATCCTGTGTTCATCATATGACTGCATGGTGATACCAGCCGGGTGCTACCAGTATACACCGCCGTTGCCGCACTGGAAATTCTGATTGTTCAGAAAGTTTTGGACTTGAAGGTCCATAAATCCATTTTCCCAAAGTATAAAGAATTATGGATCAGCAACAGCTGCTTATGTGAATATCTGCTCAAGAAAGTGGACCTTGGATATGTGTAATCCATTTATCCAATCTGGATGCAAAATGCCATGTGTTGCTTATGACCTCCATAAAAGTGAAACGCTAGAAAGGCGCGTGGGCTGCCAATTAGTTTCTAGAAGACTGATAATGACATCTCAATCATAATAACTGACATGTCCATTAGTACATGACCTGTGACTGACATCAAAGACTCTTCAATAGTCACTTGTTGAGTTTCTTTGTAAGTAACCATTAAACTTAGACAAAGTGAAAAAACAATAGGTAACATCACGTCTTAAACGCAATTTTCTTCTTTTTTTTAGTAGTGCTGTGTATTTCACAATCCATATTTAAATGACCAGATTTTCAGGTGGAAATTGGAAGTATCTTTCAGATTTTTTCAAAGCTTATTTACATTTAAGAGGGCATATGGAAAAGCATTCCACTCACCTTGTGCCAGGAGCTCTTCTCCACGCTGGACTTGTGTCAAGAAGTACTGCTGAACCTGCTGAGGGTCTGCCATATTCGGTAGCTGTTTAGGAAACACAGATGCAGTATACATTACAACAGCAATGAAAATGTTTAAGCCATTGAGTCTGTGCGGTCTCACATATGTTTTTGTTCAATATTGCATGCAATAAAAATGTCAGGAATACGGCTGGCACCTGAGTAGGAACACCAAAAATACAATGTACTGCAGTCCAATTGTGTGAATCATCTTTGTTGTTCTAAACTAGAACTTTTCTTGTTACTGATTCACATACACATACAGGTACCGTACTTCTTTAATTTTGAACAGACAGAATGGATTGATCTCTTACCAAAAGTAAGACTTATATTATAATGCCTTATATTATAATGCAATGTACAGTGTACATGTATTTGCTGCTATAATGAGCACAAGAGGGTCCGCGCAAAATGTTTTTCCTTTGTAAGATTTTCCTTTTCTTGTGAGTCACTATCTTCAGGTTTGAGATAAATTTCTTCAATAAAACCATAAAAGAGCCAAGTTATTTTGGTTAATCTCACAGCAGGTTGGGGATGGATTCCACTCCCCCTCTCCAAAGAACTTGGCTGTAACACTCGATACTTGACATGAAGATGAGAAGTTTGAAGTCAATCAAATGGTTCTGTTGTTATGATCATTTGAAGTTCAAGGCTACATGCGTGTGTGTACTAAGCACCACAGTGGGGAAAGGTACATGTATACCTTTTTGGCTGACCTGTCTTAGAACAATTGGCACAGCACAAGAATGGTATGGTTAATCCTGACAACATTGGTGTCAAAATGACAGCAAAGAGTTACATGTACTTTGAAACATTTCAGAAAATATTGGAGACATTGGAAAAATGTAGGGGGGGTGGATTTGGCCCTGTCCAACCCCCCCAACCCCCCCAAGCTCTCTTAGGGTTAAGGCAAATTTTCAATGTTTGGTCAAAATGTCCAAGAAATTTGGGAGCTGCGGGGAACGTTTCATACACCAAATTGTTCAGCATAGTGATACTGTACTGCGCTTCCAATACGGGCCATTCACAATAGTGTGACTCCAAGAGTTTGCAACGCATTGGCCAATCTTAATGCACGAAATCTGTCGACCCAATGCGCATTTGGGAGGGGTCAACAGATTTCGCGTGTTGTGATTGGCCAACACGTTGCAAACTCTTGGTGGGGCACTACTGTGATTCGGCTGGATCGAACTGTAACCCAGATATTTGTTAAGCCTTTGCCACAATGAACAGATGACACACGGATGATAATGAAGTACAGAAGGCTTTTGTGTTTACCTGCATGTTCATGGTGGAGGAAGAGCCATCTTTCTGTTTCTGTTTACTCTTCTGTTTCTCTCTTCCTGGATAAACAAGTGGGAAACAAAAATTACCACTGATGGAAAAGACAGACAACGTGTACATTTTCCATCACTGTAGAGTGCAGGTTCCTTTAACCCCTTCGCGCTGGGAAGGGGCTAGAGCCGCCGTAAAAATTGAGATCCTTAGCCCGCTTTTCAGCTTTATTCTCGGCCCACACTTGAGCAAACACGGTGAAAGAAGGCAGACCATGGCTCTTATATATATGGTGATTGGCCTTTGTGTGTAGCCCAGAAATGAAAAGACCAAATTTGCATCATAATCACCAGCTTCACAATAGTCCCCACTTTGAAAAGAGGCAACGGGAATGTGGAAGCATGAGTAGAGCCACCGAAAATGCCACCAAACAATCAGCCTTTTCGCTGTGTAATTCAAAGCATGCAGAGCACGAATTTGCGGTTTGGCAGGTGGCCTTCGTGGCCAAGTGAGGCTGGAATTCTTGGATATATTTTGATATTTCGAATTACTAGGAAATCTGTTAACATTTTGACTGGGTTGTTTTAGAGTGTATAGTGAAGGAAGTTTTGTAAAGATTGTATTAAAGTTGTATTTTGAAATAAAGCTCTTGGAAAAGGAAGTTACTTGTAATTGTTGCTTATAGATCAATTAGGGCATAATTGGGGTTCCGCATCAGTGGTGTTTATGAGGGCTCCAAATTCAGCCACAACCTTTGACCGAGCGGCAAGGCTCAATGCACACGGCCACCCTTTTGACGTTTCACCTACGAAGGCAGTGTTTCACGGCAGCTTTAGATGTGGCGCACAAGCCGACAACTGAGCTGGGGAAGCTCTGTATTGGGACGCTCTATACTTGTCATGGAAATTTCTCTAGGCTCATTTTCACCCTCAATTCGTCTGTAATTTCATTGGTTGGCTGTAATCCACCCAGAATCCTGTCAAAGTCTATAAAGCGTGATTACAGTTAATCCAATGGTGCTAAACATGGAAATCAAGCCAAGCCTTGAAGATCCAAGCTATCAAGTCAAGTCCAGTCAAGTCAAGATTCCAAAACCTATCTGCATCCAAAGAGCGATGGCTTCCTGAGTCGTATGTTCCAGTGTTGTTACTGCACGCCTTCCAGTGTGACCAGTGTGAGCACTGGCAGCATCGGGCGTGTGACACCGGGTTTTCTTCCGAAGAGTACCGGCGGATCACGCAGGATCCTTTGCTCCTCGAGGTGTGGGTGTGCAACGAGTGTGCCTCCTGTCCAGCTTCGGCTTCCTCTCTCATTCCAGAGGAACCTAGGGAGGGCGGCAGCGAAGACACTTCCACATCACTACACCATTTGACATCCCATCTCCACCTGAGGAGACACCCCTTCCTGACGCAACCCTCCCCGCTGATGTCCCACTCGGTGAAGACACCACCGACTTCCCAGTGGTGGAGGGTGGGTCTTAACGAGGGAAGGCACTGCTTGTTGACAACCACGGCTACACTTACGCCTGGAAGAAGACAAGCCCCACCAGCATAACCTGGCTGTGCAGCATTGAGAGCAAGTCCTACCGATACCCTGTCACAGTTTTACAGTGAGGGAGGCGGTTCGACTTCGGTGTTCACTCCCACCACATACGTGTACACCCAGCATGGCCAGGTAAAGGCACAGCGGTGGAAGTTGTTGCCAAGGTGAAAGAGGTGGCCCAGTTCGACCTTTCCTGCTCCGCCAGTATGGTTGTAGAAGAAGTTCTGGTGGAAAAGGGCACTGGGTTTTCTTCCAGCTGTCCCGACCTGTTGCTGCTGAAACACACCACAAACCCGACCCGTCAAGGTCAGCGGCCCCCAGAGCTGAAGTATCTTTCCTTCAACATCGTGGACAGCCACATTCCAAGCAACTTCCTCCGAAAGGACATCCTGGTCAGCGAGGCAAGACACCTTATGTTCTTCACCGACGAGCAAGCTGCTGTCCTCGATGGTGCCAAGACCTGGTACATGGATGGAACCTTCAAGCTAGTGCGGCGTTCCTTCAGCCAGCTGTTTTCCATCCATGCATTCATCAAGGGAGATGCGGGTGACATCAAGCAGGTGCCTCTGGCATTTGTTATGATGTTAAGACGGACCAAAAAAGACTACAAAAAGGTAGGCCATTTTTCAGTTTTGGTGTTATTGTTGTTATTATTATATAGTACTATTATTTAGTTTTCTTATAAAAGGGGAATAATGGTAATATTATTGAGCCAATTACTCTTTTCATTGGTGGAGAAATAAGTTAACAAGTTACTTCTTTTCTCTTTTCGTTTTCTTTAATTATCTTAAAGAATAATAATGGTAATGATTGTTGAGTCAATTTTTCTGTTCATTTATTTCCTTGTTATACATGTAATTGAAGAAATAATTTAACAAGTTCTTTTCTCTTATATTTTTCTTTAACTTTCTATCCATTGCAGGTGCTACGGGCGCTACAGCAACAGCTTCCTTTGCACGCAAGCAGTCTCCGTGAAGTGGCCGTGGACTTCAAATCTGGGAGGCAGTGAGATCCGTCTTTGGTGACGTGCACATTCACGGCTGTCTCTAGCATTGGACCCAGGCTGTCTGGCGGAAGTGTCAAGAGCTGGGCCTGCAGGCAGCTTACACCAAAGATGCATCTGTGAACGACTTCATCAGGAAGTTGATGTCTCTGATGTTTCTACCCGCAGAACACATCCCCGAGGCCTTCCACCTGCTACCACCTGTAGCTGAGAGCTACCTTGGCACCACTGCATCAGCTGTGTGACTACATCTCCGCAACATGGCTGAAGCATCCCACCTGGAACACGGCCAAATTGTTCGTCTCTATGCGGCGCATCAGGACAAATAATGATGTAGAGGGCTAGCACTGCTGTCTTAATGGCTGGGCAGGAAGGAGCAAGATACACCTGTACACTACCATCAAGCTCCTCCATCAAGAAGCTTCTCTGGTGACGATGCAGATACACCTGGTCAAGGAGTCTAAGCTTCGCCGTCATCATCAGAAGAATGTTCGAAGAATGCAGGGGCTGCTGTTTCTGCTGTGGGAGCACTACCAAGCGGGTGAGCTGAGGACATCTGGTCTCCTTGCCAAATGCAAGCATCTCACTGGACCATTGCTCTAGGCAAACCGGGCCTGAATCATCAAACCGTCAAACAGAGCCAACATACATGTACTTTCAAAAGAGATAATTCAGTCCTGTCTGATACATGTAAATGATTATTAATTAAATGAAATAAAAATAATAACTTGAATAAAATAAATAGAAAAAAATCCAAATAAAAGAAAAAGAAACAAATAAATTTACCCCAGAAAAAAATTGAAAAGTACAAAAAAAATTTAATAACCCCGAATAAATTACTGCAGTAAAAATATAAGTAAAAAATACAATAAATTATCCCCCCCAAAAATAAGTTGCCTTTGTAAAAACTTAAAAGAAAGAAAATATCCCCCAAAAATAAATTGCCGCAAGTAAGATTACGATGTAGTTCTTTACACGGGGGACAACTTGACTAGGGGACGAGTTGATTTGGGGAAGACTTGAGTTACAAAGAACTCTTGGGGGAAATGGAGCAGCATTTCTATGGGTACACAACTAGAATAAAATCCTTGTTCGTGCCCTGTTAAACGTCATGCAGAGCATATGGTGAAAAAGGCTCATTTTCTATGGTGTTCATGGTAGAGGGGCGGACGTTGGACCCCACAGGGGTAGCGTGGTCATTGATGGGCTCAACAAATGATAAACTGAATGGCAGTCAATGGGGTGGAAGCAAGAAATTGGTGAGCAAAAATCTCATTTTTTTATTCAAAAATACTCTGTCTTATGCTCTGAAACTTTGTTATCCCTCTTTTTAAGAGGTAGGCCCGATGGATTAATCAGGGAAACATTTGATGTTACACTAACAGCTTTCTCACACCAGTGAATAATTTCACCACAACAATCCGATTCCAAAACCCACTAGGTCTAGTACTACTGCTACTAGGCCCTGGTTCTAGGTCAACTCGACTGTTTGCAAACTCGACTCCTGACCAACTCAACTGTCAACCAACTCGACCATTGAACAAACTCGTCCGTTGACTAACTCGACTTCAAAGTCGAGTCAATTTGACCATTTACCAACACGACCGTTTGCAAACTCGACTGCATGATTGATACATGGGTTTATTAGACAAACCCTTTCCTTGAAAAATAGATATTAAAAGGGGAAAATTGAAGATCAGATCAGTTCTGGATCGCGAAAATGATGGATGCTACTTTCAGCTCAATGAACCAACGAAATCAACTGAAATGCAATCAATAATTGAACTTGTGCCAATGAGATACTTCAAAATAATTTTCCCAATTTGAGAAGGACGCACGCACGACCCCCGAAATCTGTCACCACACTGTACCCATGCTATATCACATCACGTGCAGTAAAACGAATTACACGCGCAATCCACAACTAGGAAAAATGCGTTCCTTCTATGCCCTGTCCCCGTTGCATCGTTCGCATGGTCGAGTTGGTCGAGAGTCAATTTGGTCAAGAGTCAAGTTTCGAGTTAACCTTTACAGTTGAAGGAACAACGGTCGACTTGGTCGACGGTCGAGTTGGTCGAGAATCGAGTTGACTCGAGTCGAGTTGGCAAACGGTCGAGTTGACCTGACACCCTACAGCCACCATGCACCGGTCCCGGTATACGGTAGGCCTACGAACTACAGTACATGTATAATGTGCGACTCACTCTCTTTCAATTTCTGCCTGAACTGAGGATCACTTCTCCTCTTTCTGTCAAAGTAGATACAGTAACCGACGAACAAAGTTCCAGCTATCCCCGCTGCGATACCAATTACAGTCTTTGAAACCATTTTTCCGGTAGACTTCATGTGCAGTACGACTTTCGTACTTGTTACTGGCGCAGGCCGAGCACGTTGGTTGACGAACGAACGAAGCCCTGGCCTTAGCAGCGTTGAACAATTGCCTTGTTACCTTTGAACTTTTACCGAAGCTGGTAACCACAAGTGTACGATGCGAGACCGCCGTATCCGTACGTGTGCGGCATTTTATTTTGTCGATGGATACCAATAAACATCTCAAAATATCCACAGGAGCTATGCAAGGCACTTGCAGTTATAGCATGCTTAGCAACATGCATTCCTAACACTAGTCGCGCGGTTGATGGAGTGACTTCTAAACTATGTTGGTTGAATTGTCACGTCGATGACCTTCATTCATTAACTTGTCGTGAATTAATGTGTTTTCAGTGGTGTGTCGTTGGATTTCACTGTAAGTAAATTAACAAAATTGTGGCCGGCCTGTCTCTTGCAAGTTGTAGTGCCAATTTCCTACCCCCAGAACCGTAGGGTCGGACGTCCGCCCAGCTGGGAGTACCGATGTCCGCTGTCGAATCCAGGGGACTCCCACGGCCCAGGTGTTCTGGCATGCCTGGTGCAGTTCACCTTGTCACTGATGTTAAACTCTGTGAATTTTGCCGTTAACAATCATCCTATTCCATGATATGTTACCTTTCATGAATATGGTGGATATTCATCTGAAACCGACAAAATCACCACCTCTTTTTATTAATTATAATTAATAATTTATCTCAGTAATGAGATGTTGCTCATTGTTCTTGCAAGTTGTATGACTGGCAAAATTACACCTTTTCTTTGGTAAACCTGAATTAGGCCTAGGCCTAAAGGGGCATGAATTCATAGCATTTAAGAGTTTTGGTCTACTTTAATTAGGGCCTAGTCTGTTATTCAATATGAAATTAAGTTCTCTTTTTGTGGCAAGCTTTGATTTTTTTAACTAGGGCCTACCCCATTTCTGGCATGTCAGGGGTAAGTTTAAACTAATGCTTTGTACAGGTTTTATTTGTACATGTACATATATTTCGATTTTCCCCCATATTTGTGTGCAAAACAAGGCTCAGTAAAATTTTTAGTCATTACAGTGACAGGATATCAGAAGAAACTCTCATTTATAAAATTAGCAGAATTCTAAATGATGTTTATAAAAATGCATTTGTTCTGGTGTGAAACTGTGTTCAGGGTTAACATGGTTAGAGAGAGGACAAGGGTGGATAACAGCCTTTTTAAAGTGTCTTTAGAATATTCCCATTTCATTCAGGAGGTGATTGCAATAGTTATGAAGTTATGAAACAATTTCATACTTCCATACAGTGATGGTGGATAATGTGCAGTGACATGTTAATAGTGTCTTCTGAAAATAACAATTTTAGAGGGTATAATATTGTCCATTTGGGATGGAAAAAAACATGATGTTTTGTTAAAACCGTACTAGGTAAAAGAGCTTGTACCAGCTTTGTGTTTTTATGCATGCATGGCACTTGTAAACGTACCATTGGAAGGTCTGGCCCAGCTCACCCTAACACCCAAAAACCTGGCGGACTTCAACTTCAACTAAAGACACTTTGTAACTCTGCAACAATATACTCCACTTGAAGCTCCTCAGCAGCTGATCCCAGCTGATATTTTGTTGGACTTTGACGTTCAAATACAACAGTATCACAGACTGGAACATCCTTGGAGAAACTGTCGCCACTATGTATTTTGACACCTCGCAGTAGTGACCACCATTTCATGAAGCCCCTGCCTTTAACTTACTCCCTGCCCATCGTGGGAGTACATGTAATTTTTTCCCTTGTCTGTCTCTTTTCGAACAATATTTTCAGTTTTTCAATGATTTATTCATTTCAGACAGCATCCAAGAGGGCAAGCAGCAATTGCAGGATAGCTTCTCTCAGCTGATCAGCCCCCGGCAATGGCTGAGGTCAACAGTTCAGACCTGGTACATCTAGAGGATGGGAGTAAGGTCGTCAGAGTGCCAGACCTGGTGAACGAGAAGAGCCACGTGGTGTTTGCGCAGTGCACCTCGGCACCGCTATCTCCAGACAAGCCTTACTTCAGGGTGAAAGTGGTCCAGCTGGGTTTGTACCATCTCATGACCTTAACCCTCCTGAGTATAAGTGAAATTCACAGAGAATTATGTCTGATGTAACACTGTTAGGGGTTCATGAAGTTGTATCGTGCACTTTGATACATGCACCTGGTGATACATGGTCTGGTGAGGAGGTATCTGCCGTGCAGTAGGTTTAAAGCTGCTTTCAAGTGTGACTCATACTGTCATTGATTTCAATTGACTGGAAGTCAATCAGTGTTCCGTTGAATTTTTCTACATATCTCTCCTTTTATTAGTAATATACATCCTGAACATGCATTGTTCATTTATTGGGTCCACTTTTCTTAGGACATATGCAGGTAGATATGTAGCTGGTGTCATAATCATAATGAGAAACTGTTTCTGACTTCTAGCAAAAGAAGCTGTCATCGCCATTGGCATCAGCCAAGAGACAGACTTGGATGCAGAGGACGTAGAAGACGATGAGGTGGACAGGCCCTCTAAGAGGAAAAGTGATGCGGTGGTCTACTTCAGCGATGACGGTAGCATCGCCAGCCCAGCAAGAAAGGGCTCCAAGGAGTTCGTTCAGACCTTTGGTCAAGGTATGAACTGGTACCCTCTGTGTTGTGAGCAGAATCTGATATTGTTGCACTGGTGAACACAGAATGTTTAACAAACAGAAGTGTTTTTCTGTGCCTTGGGAGACAATAAGCAGGCAGTACAGCAAGAGAATAAGCTCCCCTCTGGTCTGAACCTTGTGAGTCTGATGAAGCCTAGGTCAGGTAGCCACAGATATCATGATATCACCCGACTCTGAAAATATTCATTTTCTATTCTCTGAACATTGTTTTTGATTAATATTTAGATATTGGTCATGTTAGCAATGGTCAGGTTTTTACAGGTGCAGTGTAATTTTATTTATGATAACAAATCTGCTATGCTAGATGTCAGTCCTGTGCTATTTGAGTTTTCATAGCTACGTGTAATTGGTTAGGTTTTGTATTGACTTCTCTATATTAAACAATACTGGTAGCACCAACGTAGGGCTAGTTTGCAACTCGCATTGGAAACTCTCATATGTTATCTGATTCTGTTGAATGTAGCGAGAAAGTCTCAGGTAACGAGTGTTGGGTTAGAGTTGAAACCAGATAGCACATATACTTTTTTTCTCTATTAGGCGATGTGGTGGGTCTGTACATTGACTACCACTCCAAACACAAGTCGTTAGTCTGTGTGCTCAAGAATGACCAGCTTGTTCACCGGCGCTGGCTAGCCCTGAAAGAAGACCTCCTGCTGCCTACCGTCAATGTGTGGTGGGGGACGGCAGAGCTGCACGTGGACTGGCTCAGCTCGTCCCCACCAGTCTCGTCACAGGTAAGGATGACGCAACTGGATAGTCACCAATCCAGGGTGTGTTTTCATGGCCCCCGACTGGAAACTTGTTTTGGGACGTCAAAAAAAACCCAAGGACCACGCGTAAGGTGGCCCGCTAAAACACAGAACCGGAACTGGCTATGTCATCCAAGAGAGAGAGAAAAGTGCAGTGCAGTGCAAGGCAGCAGACGACACTTTTGACAAACATCATTGTCACTCATTGTTAAGCCTAGTTCCTACAACTGCTGCCGTCTCTTGTCATATTCTGATACAAAGTGCCTATTTGCATCACTCTACATGTATGTGACAAGATATTGTTGACACATAACTCTATTATTTTTGAGACATCAAAATATTAAAATATATCTGCTTATTTTCTGCTACTTGGTACTGGAGCTGAGCCATCTATAACCATCACACAGGCATAACTGAAGTTGCAAAAGTGCCTATGTAATGACCGCAGCAGAGACGTGTTTCTGGCTGCAGTCACTAAAACCCGCTCTGAAAAATCCTTGCATAAACATAATACAGAATTTCAGGGCTCTCAATCCTGAGGTTTGAGAGTCCCAAATCATGCAAGAAAGTATTGTAGCACTGAAACAGCACCTCCGACACTTCCGTAGTACTTCACCTTACAGACTATCAACTGCCTAGTGTTGAGCTCTATACACCCTTTCCACATCTGTGCCAACAGACTTCTGAAACAGTATATCACTTCAGAAAGTTGGACTTCTCTTAGTTAAGTCTTTACTTAAATATGAATTTCCCAGGTGCAAACTGTTGAAGCAAAATCTTAGTTAGAATTTACCAGAAAATTTCAAACTTGGCTGACGTTTGACAGCATCCTTTATGGGTATACTTTGGGTCATTTTGTAGGTTTACGTTGGCCTGATTTTGTTTTACATTGTTCTCAGATTTTGGTGTCTTTTTAACTCTGGCATGAGGTGTGGCAGAGTCAGTAGTTTAACAAACATTTTTTTTTTCATTTTCCAAAGTCAGTTTTGTATCTCTGATGCTGTGTCTACTAGACCTGTGTGATTGGCCTCTTATTTGCCAAGGACTCAGATGTTTTTCCATCACGCTCTTTCTGTAGGAGAACCTGTCTGACTGGAACATGCCTGACACTGTGACAGCCGATGACAACCTATTGAGCCTACGCACATCATCAAAAGTGGCCGCTATCCAAGCACCCTTCCCTCTTCATAAAAGTAAAAGAGAGTTGTTGTAAATTAATTGTTCGTTTCTAAATGAAAAAAAAATCTGACTACGAAAACAACTCATAAGATCTTTGTGTTAGTTTCAGTGATGAGTATTTCAATAGATATGGAAAATAGGTCGAAGCTGTAAATGTTTACTCCTATGAGATATACGTATTTATCAGTACATCACACCAGCTGATATTTAGCAATTGTTGAAGGCTTTGATATTGGATATGGAGTTTTTTACACCTGTGGGATGCATTGCCCCCTGGGGATTAAAAAAGTCCCACTCCAGAACAGACAACAAAAGACCACACATGGTTTTTGACCACACATGGTTTGAACTAAGCCCTGGTAGTGTAACTCCTGAGCGTTTCAGTCGGATATGAAATTGAGAGGTTTCAGAAATTCCTTGTTACAAGGTATTTAGCACATGATGTTAAAGATGACATTTGAGTCACATAGAGTTTACATATTGCAGTTCCTCCCAGTAGGTCACCCCTGATTTTTTAATGGTTTCACCATCTTGTGTAGGCTCCACCCAGTACCTAGAGATGACCATTGTGTCAATGGGGGAGGAGGCTACGGTTGGCCCTGTGATTGGTCTCACCTCAGCCCTCCTGGATGACACTAAGCTGCCAGGTACAATGATGGAGGCCGTTGGATATAGTGGAGCAGATGGGACAGTTTACTTTGAAACTGCAGAAAATGGTAAACCTTCCATGTCCTCTTTCATTTTAATGAATTCATATTTTTCTCCAGGCTGAGGAAAGAATAGTTTGAATTTTTTGGTCTCAAACCTGATTATCCACAGAAGAATTATGTCGATGAACAAGTTCTGTTGGCATTAGGAGAAGATTATTGTGAAAATTTCACGTGCACATGAGCTCTCAAAAGCTGATTATTATGTTGCATCAAAATGCTCTTCCATGCGTGAAAATTAGGAGTTAGTGCTCTAGTTATAAACTGCTACATTAAAAACAACTGATTAGATGGGTTTTGAAAAAAGGAAAGCTTTAATTGTTCTATATAAAACAGCCACCAAGCTCGGGGAGAACTGTACTTGTGGGGTAGGAGATACTATGGGCTGTGGTCTGGTGTTTGTGGAGACTGAAGTGGCCAACCCGAGGCTGCCGACCAACGTCATCGTGTACTTCACCAAGAACGGTCAGGTGGTACACCAACGCTCGCTTGATCAACCAATGGGAGGCTTCTACCCTACCATCGGTCTAGCCTGCCAAGGTATGAAACTTGAAATACTCCATTCTGTAGCATTTCTCCTGTTTGTTGTGTTTGATTCATGTGAAGACTGTGCATGAAAATACCTTTTGACACATCCCTTTCATTGCATCTTTCTGTCCCATTTCCTTTAGTTCCAATCTTTTAGTCACCATTGCTAAGGGATTTGAGGTCCTGCAAGTTACATGTACCATACCCAGCGCTAGACTGGCGGACAAATTCTAGTAAAAACTGCTGGGGGCTCGTAAAAGTCATTATTTAACTCACCTGTCATTTCTCATATTTTTAAAGATGAGTAAAACACATGTTGTGAAATTGATTGTGGATGTTGTTCATTATTAATTGTAATTGCTAATTCACCACATTTTTAACAATGAGACACCTCTGTAACAGTTGAAATAATGAAGTTAAAAAGAGCCAATCAAAGTTAGTTTTGTTAAAAAAAGGCCCATCGGGTCAAGGGAAAATTCCTGCGGGCTAGTAAAACACATAAAGTGCCTGTCATGCTAGTTATAAAAAAAAAATTTAGGCCGAGGCCTGCCAAACCAGATTTACATGTCGTTGGTACTGAGTGAACTACTGTACATTGCAGACTGTGCAGAATGTATCACTGAGTGTGTAAATAACACACACAGCATCTTTGCATGAGTTGACATATGCATGGTGAAGACAATTTGAGTACACATCTTCTGGTTGTTGAGTCCTCGGTCATGTGCCATTGAGTTTGAGTTCTGTTCCACAGTAATTAGAAACTCTGCTGCAGTTGAACAAATGCCAGAACTCGTAGGTTGATGCAGGGATTTATTCAGCTGGGGATTTTTTTCAGGATTGAGTTAGGTGTTGCATTGTGAGTCTTAAAAGCAAATTAATTGTGAGTCTTAAAAAGGAGATTATGTGGCTCGAAACTCAAGAGCAACTGTGTTAACAGACGCTCATTTTGTTAGGTTTTGGCACAGCTATGAAATTTGTCCCCCATTTTGACTCTAATGCTAGCATTTTTCCTGGAATATATTATATATGTATGTCTGGCCTGCATTGTGTGGATTGTGGTTAATGTCATGATGATATTTTGTATTCCGCAGGTTGCACTGTCAGAGTAAACACTGAGTGCCCGGAGCCGACCTCACTGGATGTCAGCGCATGGAGAGCTGAAGCCATCAAGAAGGCCATGCGTTTTGGTGGATTTGGCTTAATCAGTACGTCATATGAAAAATAACAGGATTGCCCTAAGGCTTAGTGCAAACGTGAAAGCAGACGCCAGTATGAGTATGTTGATATTGTGAAAACATTGCAAAATTTGACAGGTTAACTCGTGTCAGTTTTAAATTATAAAAAAACTCTGATACTGTTCTCCAGGTTCCAAACAGTCCACAGGACCGAAGCACATCGAGGGAGAGACATCGGGCAACTTTCGCTTCAATGAGCTGCTGGGGGTGCCCTCCGATAACGTGATCAGACTGAAGGAGAAAACCTCCAGAATGCAGCTGATTCAGCTGCTGAAAACGATGACACCAGATCAGCCCTACTTCACCGTCACCATCACCGAGGAAGGTTGGTGTGGAGGGGGATGTTACTCAGTCGTAAGGATTCTCTCACAATATGACTAAAGGCTAGGCACCGTCGATATCGTATTTTGGCCGATACCGATATATCGGGTTTTTTATATTCAATATTTATTAATATCAATATTATCGATGTATCAAATTCTATTCATTTTAATTTTCAAGGTATTAAAACAGGCGTAAATTGCTTAATTGTTTTAAGGGTACACCCTTACACCGTAATGGTGTGATCCAATTCACTTTTGCTACATGTTCTAGCATCCGTATTGTGTACATTACCTACATGGGATGGGATACTCGCTGCTGTGCATAGCGATATCAGCACGTGGTGCTAGACTAGGTACGTTTGGTTGGCAAATCTCTGTTTTGGAGGATAAATTGTGGGATTTTTTCGAATTATTGAGTGGGAGACTGAAATAGGTGACTGAATTTATTCTTCAAATGTTGCCGTATAAGCCACCCAGAGTATAAACTACAAGGACAATTTTTACTCAACGTGAGAACCGATGTAAGTCGTGGCATATCAAAAATTACAGTAATGTGACCATGCACTTGTGTATTTTTAAATAAAGTTCGCTCCTCAGTAGCGATATTTTCAATATATTTTTTAATATCGATGTTTTTGAAGTTTTGATACTTTCAATATTTTCACAATTTCTCCAAAATCTGATATTTTCGATATATCGATATTAACAAATAACTAAAATCGGCGATATCGATGTCAAACCCATATCAATAATATATGTCGACGATGCTTACTAACGGCTTTATGAAATCACTGCCGTAGGGTATCTTGATACCAAATTCTCACTCTTGAACAAACTCAGGCGAAAGCCAGACCTTGAAGGAGGTTAAGATTTGGTAACAACACATCTTGTAATTGCGAGCAAAACATGACCATTAAATGAGTACCTCCAAAGGGAAAATTGGATTCAATCAAGTTGCTTCGGTACCATAATCTCTTGCAATTAGGATCAAGTGCACTTTCTGCAGTTCCATGATATTACCGTTTTTCCCTTTGTTGATTCTGAATGGAATCCCAACTCGCTAGGTGCAGTCTAAATGACCAAAAATCCTGCAGGCCCGTCGCCAGTTTGGGGCATCGGGGCAGAGGACCACATTACCAGCTAGGGAGCACATCACAAGAACTACCGATAATTTTGATGCTTATGCTTTATACCCTATGGGGGCCTGAAAGTCTGCAGGACTGAAAATCACTGTGGACAAAATGCATCTTCAGTAATTGTCTTGAGTATAGTTACATACTGACTTGGTTACGTGCAAATCACTGGGGTTGAACAAGATCAGACAATTTGCCTCTAAAGTATTGAGAAATCACTTGTCACACGCGAATAAACAACTAAACGTTAGTCCAGTGTATTGAAAGTGTCCAGCCTCCTTCCACTGTTTGCACAGATGCGGACGGCAGAGTTGTGATGGGCATCAGTCGCAGTGGACAAAGCGTCGGCGTACTACCCGGCGATGTACTAGACACAGTGGGCTATTCCTGTGAGGGTGCAATCTATAATGGTGTTGATAGGTTCAAGACAGAGAAATACACTAAAGGTAAGTTTGCATGGGCAAACAGAGCACCTGTTTCAGTGTTAGTGCACTAAAAGCACCATTGTGTTTAGCATTTAGTCTATATACACATGACAACATTTGGAACAGGATAGAGCAAATTTTTGTTCCCTTTTCCCTGAAACCAAGCTTTTTGACTTTAAGATTCGTTTGAAATAACTGGCAGAATTAGCAAATTTTTGTTCTGTCGTGGAACATCATTTTAAACATCATATAAGGTAATCATAAGAACTACTGGTTACTTTAGTGATTGTCACTTTAGTGACCTGTCCTGCGTATGCCACTTTTTTCTCGATGGCTCACCCACTGAATTGCCTTCTCAACTTAGGAGATGAAGTTGGGTGCTTCGCGGAGTATTTCGGTGAATCGGTCAAGATTGTGCAATTTGTCAAGAATGGCCAGCTGGTGGGTCTGACCCCTCTGACCGGCGGGAGTCAGGATATCTACCCCAGCCTAGGTTTTGTGGGGGAACCCTGTGCTGTGAGGGTGTCATGGCCGGACACTAGACCCACCCCTCCTGGCACATTTTCCAAGGTACTTTTTATAAATTGATTTGTTTATTGCAACCATACTGGTATCTGACAAGATTGGTCGGATTTTGTAAGTGGGCAGTAACAGAAAAAAAAAGATCAAAAATACTTTGAATGCCATCATGAATACGAGAGAGGGACATTGAGAAATAAAACCTGAGACAAAAGAAGATGGAAGAATTAAAATGTTACAATTAATGAAGATTTTTAGGAACGTGATAGTATTTTTATGTCTGTTGTCATACATGGGGGGGGGAATACATCTGTTTTGGATTCCCAAATGTACATGTATACCTTAACCCTAACAGTCTTCAATCCTCCAACAGGTGAAGGATTGAGGACTGTTAAGGTTAATCTATTGTCTGTGTATTTAGGAAGAAGGTAGTAGGTTGTTATTGGGTTTCTGGTCTGATAATGTCTCTAATTTTAGAGACTGAGAAGCGCTCTCATTATACGATACACCCGGAACCAGAATACCCAAAGCCCCAGAGTGCGCCGTTGCATGCTTATGCTCCTCACTAGCTCCTCACTTCATTACTGTCAGGACGTGGTTTCGAGGTCATCTGGCAGTCACCTTTTAACTCCAGAGCTGGTCTTGTACAGTAGCAATGATGGAGCTCTTTCAACTATTACACCTCGGCTTTGGAATTGTGGTCCACATGATCCGTGAGGCGTTACTACATCTCAAACTTCACACAGAGACTCCAAAGGCATCTTTTTGTGCTGATGTTGCCCCTCATCTGAGTTGCTTTCTTTACTTCAACAGTTTCTTGGAATAATTCCCATAGAAAGTGGGGGTTGGAAATGTATCATTTTTAGTATTGGTTATGTGAGCAAGCTCGAATGTGTGTACAGAAATGTTTAAAAGTTGGGTGTGTTTGATCCATACTTTCAAGCTTGCATATTTTTGGTAAATGAATAATGAATGATTTTTGCAACTGAATAATAGGCTCTGCTTTTTGACATCACAGTCGTGTTTTTCCTACAAGTGGCTGCTAAAACTAGAGTTGGCCGTTGGTACAAAAATAAAAGAATAATTCACAGAGTGTTCAAAATCCCATGCAGGTCTCAGAAAATTAGATAATAACACACATGCAGTACTGCTAAATGGAAATAGGACCCTATTTAAAATCAATGGGACAAATGTCCATTTTGAACAAATTGGAAGAAAAATAAAAAACCAACCAACAGGTGATATTTCTGCAAACTTTGGCCGCCCATACAAATTGTAAGCAAAATGAGAGTGGTCAATAAAATAATTAAGCACGAAACTCCGGTTCTCTTAATTTAATACTCCAGGAGGATGAAGTAACATTACAATGAGCTACAGTGTGTCACTGTCACTTAAGGTTATTTGGGGCAGTTCAGTGTGGTTCGTAGTTGACACCCTCATACCAAATGGTATTCCTCTCACACGACGACTTGGCAGGTGTTATGACTGTTGCACACACACACACTGTTAAATGTGTGAAATCTGCGTAGCTGAGTAATAGCATGTTCGTATATGAATCTGTGCTGTACCATTCAAGGGAAAAAGAAGCAAGATATCAACTGTCAGGTTTGAAAGTGGGCCCATTGAGGCAAATGCTGAGTGGCATAGGCTTTTCATATTTGTTCTTCAAATTGACATCTCTATTCCTTATTGTGATAGGACATGCTCTCCAACTGGATGAAGAGTACCGGGCTTTGCGTGCGTGACTTCCAACTCAGCGTGCAGAAGAAGATGAGAAAGTTGAAAGCCATGTGTCTCCGATCACCTCAACCTCTTACCAGGGGTGAGTTTATTCCTGGATTGAATGGCAAGAAGATTGTGGTCTGATCTTCTTCAGGATGTTAAATGTACATTACCTGTACTGTATTTGATAAAATAACAACACAAAATCAGTGATATAGCAAGCAACCATTTCTCAAGTTGTTACTCATTTCACTTGCACACTGTTTCTGTTGGTCCTTCATATCTGTTGGATTGTTCTTGGCTATTTTCATTACTGGCCAGCCAAAGCCGTTGGCCAGTAAGAATTGGTTAGCCACAGTTGGCCAGCCACAGTTGGTTAGCCACAGTCATTGCACAGGCACTATTGGTTTGCCCTATCCAGAAATAGCATACATGTCCACTGGCTGCTGCTTTCAACACATGCCTTCCTTTTTCAGCCTGGAGCTATTTTGAAGTCACCATCCACTCCAAGGTGCTCTCCACTCCGGCCCAGAAGGTCAGCAAAGCCCCAGTAGTTGGGCTGACCAATGACATGGGGCTGAAACCATTCAAGAAACTGACGAATGACGAGAGGACCAGGGACATCCGATACTACTGCCACAGTAACAGCATAGGCTTCAAAGATGCTTTGTTGCATAAAAGTATGTTCATTTCATTTTCATCTTCTGGTTTTTTTGGGGGGGGCTGGGAAAGATGATTTCACTCAATTAGGAATGTATGCCACGTGCAGCATTGTTCTGGGATATTTTTGACTAAATTTTTTTTTCTGCAGATCAGTCCGATTTTAAGAAACGTTTCAAGGTGATCCCTAAATTGAAATTAGAATTTTTAAAATTTTCACAATTCTTTTGCCTGAAATGAAGCCTTATAGAGTTGGAAAGTTACACCAGTGCACCAGCGATTCAACCTAATGCAAACTGAACATGTCAGAAATATGGACTGATTTGAAAGGTATTCAAGTCATTGTTTTAATGCAGGAAAATAAAATAAGTGATGAGTGTATCACTCCCCATTTTCAAGAAGTTTCAAACTTCAGTCAAAGAAGGCAGCAGACACTGTTAAAAAATATGTTGGCCTTTTTGACTGTTAACCCTACAGCAAACATTATCTTCCTTTTCCAAAATGTTGAGTCAGTCTTTGTTGTCTTGCCCTGTCACCGTTTCCGCGCAGTGGTGTCTGTGAATGAGTACCTTGGGAATGGTGACCGACTGGGCTTTGGTATTGTCTATCCGGCCATCAAAAACCAGCCAAGTGACCGCGCCCAGCAAGTTGTGGTGGTCTACTGCACTGTGAACGGCTCAGTCATCCACCACCAAGCCATGCAGCAGCCAGAAGGGGGATTCTATCCTATCATTTCCCTCTACAAATATGGTGAGTCAGTGTGGGGAGGGTGTGGTAAGTCCCTGCCACTGGAGCTGATTTTTTTTTTTCTGTGAAGTTGTGAAGTTTCCAAGAATGCTTAGCTCAGATTTTGTTTTGGCTACACAAAATCAGATTTAGCTCATGTATGTGGTATTGAGATCAGCAAGGGAAACTTGATGTAAGCGGGCATTGGAGGGAAGCAGATTTAATCCTATAAGTGCTAGGTAGGGGACTGGATCTGTGCATTAATAATCTGATGTTGTTGCAGTGCAGTTTTTTTTTTAAACAGTTTGAACCTTGGGATTTTTCCCTCTGATGTCTTGGGGTCAATCTGACACCAGTTTTATGACGTTCTCTTGAAATGTCCACTTTTTAAAGATGGGTCTGCCAAAAATGTTCTCGCTGCCATGAGCTCAGTGCAGAGGTTGACAGACAAGGGAGTGGGAGCTACAAGTGACTGTAAACAAAATTCCATGTTTGGTTGTATTGAAACTTCACAGATGTACTCATGGATGTCTTATAACATGTGCCAAGTTTTAAAAAGATTGGTTGAAGTCTAATAGCTGAGATGAGGGTGGGTAGAATCTGTCACTGCCCCTTCTACCACTTTGAGGGTTAAGGAATTCGGTCAGACAAAGAAATCTGGATTCGATGCACAAGTATCCTCAACTTGCTGCACTAACATGACCATGCAATCTGCATGTTAACTTGCTGGTCCGACTTGTTCCTTAAAGAGAAGACTGACTTTGACCCCTTTTTCTCTCTTTTGCAGGCAGTGAGGTTGACATTATACACAACAGTAGCCCACCCTCAATGGGCGATATAGGCAACTGGCTGGCAGATGCCGAGTTCCTGAGGAAGGAGATAGCTCGGGCTAAGAAAGATGCTGGTAAGGATGACAGTTTACAGAGACACTGAAATTCACAATAAAAAATTCAGTGAATAAAAGAAGAAATATGGATTCCATGCACAAGTATCTACCGGCTCAACAGAGACAAAGAGACTATACAAGACACTCGACTGCCATTGCTGCCATGTTCGTGGTGTATATGAATAAGCTACAGTTTATACACATTCGGATGAAAATTAGTGGTGCATGCTTCTCACCACTTGCATAAATGGTATGCATTGTTTGCCCGTGCTCTGTTTCTGTACACTGGAGCTCTAAACACATATTACCAATTTCAATTCACACTTTGCCCAGCCGGAGACCACAGGCAGACCGCGGAGGAGAGACAGGCCCGTCCAGCCTCCCCAGTCGAACGTACTGAGAACCATCTCAACAAGTACAAGATATACATCTACTGCGACCCCGTGCGCTACAATGAGGCCACGCATATCCAGTCAAGGTGGGTAGTAGTGTGCTGTAGGTAGCTGTGACCGAGCATTCTTGTAAACAATGTCACCACCACCCTGGTAGGATTTAGATAACTTTATAATATTTCCGAGAAGCAATCTCTTTGAGCCTCTGCTAAGTCAAGTGGATAGCGAGTTGAATTTTGAGCTCGTGGTCCCCAGTTCAGTGCTGTGTTTTTTGTTTTTGGTTTTGTATTTAGCTATTTTTTCTCCTAATAGGTTTGTCGAGAAAGTGATTGGTCAGGTTCAACTTGGTCTCAATTTGCATTTTGCAGGGTCTGTACAGTGCAAATTTTATCTGCTACCCGTAAAACCTTTTCATCTCAATTGGTTTGTCTTCAGATTTTGTGTTGTGATTTTCAAGTGCATTTTGGTGCTTTTTTGTTTTATTATGCTGATGATTGTTCCCATATTCTGGATGGTGTCATTTCGGGAAGAACACTTTAATTTTGCATTGATTTTGAACAAATTCTGGAATTTTTTATTATTGTGCTGGCTGAAATTTCCTTTTCTTTTGCTTTTTTTTGGCTGTGTACATTTAAGCACATGGTAATAAACTAGTGAGCAACCCTTTCATAGAAATGTTCTCAGTGACCAAATTTTTGGTTCACAATTTAAACTGGAAAACCTAAAAAATCAGTAATTTTATCCATAACTTGATGTCACAGCAAGTTACCCACAGTTGCCCAGGAAAGCATGTTCAGTTTTAAGCATTTTAAAAAAGGGTACTTTTCATTACGGTTATAAAGCCAAAAGGGATGCCAAATAGAGTGTTACGTTGTTTGGAAACTATGACTCAAAACAAATTAATTGATTGGAGCCGGTAAGCACCATGCTGATTGCCACAATCCTTTCACCCGACATGTCCTGCCATCAGGCTGGAGACAAAAGGCTTCAACACGGTCCTGCCATCCAGGGATGCCCTGAACAGCTCCAGCCTGAGCAGCGATCAGGTGGCCGCTATCCGGACCTGTGACTCCCTAGTGTGTTGCGTTGGGCCAGAGATCAGCACCAGCCAGCGGGCGCTGGCCACCCTGGACCTGTGCAAGGAGAGCAGTAGGCCCATACTGCCCTGCATCCTGACCCATGTCGCCTGGCCACCTGAGGGACTGACGCAGGAGCACTTCCAGATGCTGACGTTGGATAAGATAGGTAGGGTTTTATGAAGATTTGGTCAGGTTGAACTAGTCAAACTGGCCTGAAGCATAATATATGCAAACTTAATCCAATCTGAAACCAGATCTAAGCTCCCCAAATATGACCTGACCTGACCCAAAACAAAAATTAAGGTTAAACTGACAAACTGAGCCAGTCAAAAAAAAACCCTGAATACCTTGCCTAAACAAATTGGTCTTCAAGCCATGAACTTTTTTGCCTGACCTTGTCTGTGTTGCTTGAATTCTTTGGAAAGAGCAACATGAGAACGAAAAAATAATGCAATGTTTTGTGTTTACTGTCCCAGTCTGAGTGTTGAAATGAATACAGCAGGAAAAACATGCATCTTGGTCCTACCGGGCACTCCAACTGTCATAATAATGGGCTGAGAGAATGTCCAACCTACTTGGGTTTTTTTTTTCAGTTTTTGGCTTAACTGAACTGACCTGACCAAAAACTCACAAAAGTAGAACTGAAGCTGATCTGACCCAGCCAAAATGCCTGAAGTCACAAGTGGCAAAGATGCTTTTATTTTTTATACTTTTTTAAAGATAACACTGAGGTCTTTCCAGAACTTTTTCGATCAGTAACCTCTATATGGTGTGAGCTGACATACATTTTATTTTGAAATGGTTCTAACACATACAAAGAATCAAAGAACACCGACTTAACCATTTTCTAAAGTCTTAGCCATTGTCTTAAATCTTAGCCTTTTCACCATGCAATATTATCAGAAAATTATTGATCTTTGCTCATGTAGAGATGACAGAGGATTTTCACTGGGGCGTAGAGCAGGTCGGAGAGAAGACCCTTAACCTGAGGGGCAAAGGTTACAATGGCAAGCTCATCAAGGTGGAGCTGGGCGACGCAGCCGAAATGCTGTACACTGACGCTCAGGTTGGTCCACCTTATCTAATTAGCACTGATGCTGGTCAGAGCATCTGTGCCTTGTAGATTGGCTCTGTAAGACTCTATCATATTCCACTGTTTTATGACAGTTGATCATCAGTCCTTCATCATCTCATTCCATTGACTGCAGTTTGTAGAATTAAAATAAAGTAGCCATTGACAATTGGTATCGTAGTTTCTTGTATACTTTACTATGTGCTTCATGCCCGTACTATATACTATAAAAATTATAAGTTTTCCAAACGTTGTATATTTTTTTTGGGGGGGTGAAGGGATCAAACTAATATTTAAAACAGAAGTACACCACGTCATGTTGTACTTCACTGACTCACAGGATTTCTTGATAAAAATATGAGGCATTGGGAGTTTTAGTTGCTGTTTGAAAAAATACTAATTTGCCTTGACTTAGAGAGAGAGACAGGGCATCTCTACATTTTGAGGTTCATACCTTTAGATGTATTTGCCTTCAACAAAATTGCTTGCATGTTTATAGTGTTCAAAACATGTCTGCACAGCTCTCTTGGACCAGGTTTATATCACCCTGGGCAAGGAATTTTGAGCTTACGTGATCATAAGCTCAATTGACGATGATTCGTTCTGTGCTTACAACACTGACAGTGAAATTCTGCATGAACCGTACACCATTGGTTCCTTAGTCATAGAATGTTACATGTATACTTCCGAAAAAGAACAATCTTCCTCTCCTCGGAAAAACAAGCAGTCATTATTGAGTGAGGAAAAGTTCAAAACCTTTTTTTTTTTAACAGAAAGGAAATAAGACTAGCAACAAGGTGAGTGATCCAGATGCACTCAAGGCGGCTATGGAAGATGCTGATCAAAGGAAGGCCACGTCCTTTGGCAACACCTCCCCCAATGGTTCCCCGTCAGGATCCACACCCAGGGACAAACCCCAGGACAGACCCCAGAGTGTCAAACCATCAGGCAAACCCGACCGGGCCTCCTCAGGTAAACCCAGGGCCAAGTCGGCTGGGGCTGGAGGTCAAGGGTCCGGGGGCATCCAGAAATCCAAAATGTGCTCCATCTTGTGAAATTCTGTCCACCTTGGTTTCTCTGTGAAACGTCTCTAATTTGGGGACCTAGGTAACAAATTCCCAAATTAAAGACAAAATGTGGAAGTTTGTGAGTGCAGCAATCACGGTTGTACTGAATGCTACAAGATTCTGTTTGATTTTTGTTATAATGTGAGTACTGTGGCTATTTTGGAAGAAGGAACTGATGCGTTGATGAGCTTTTGTTAAAAATATTCTTGAAATGACAAACTTGGTTTGTTAAAACCCAACTTGAGAGCTTTTTATACTGTATAAATTTGGAATTGAAATCATTTCAGTGGTTATGTTTAAAAGAGTAAAGTGCAGGTACAACTGCACTGAAGGTGTTCACCTTGTGAAATTAGGCACACTGTTTTAGGAATATACCATTTTTTTATATAGAAGGACCTGTACAGAGCAGATATTTATAGCATTTGTTGTCATTAGCACTGTCGTTAGAGAAAGGAAATGGCCTGGTGCAATAGGAATGCATTTCCTGTGTGGAATTTGATTAACCTACTGTAAGAACTTTAGGTCTCTGACCATATCTAACACTAGTTTGAATCAGCTCTATTTTTATGACCAAGATACGTTTCTGAATTTAGGGTATGCAACATCCATCTTTTTGTGAATTTAGTTGTACACAGTTGTGCAAGTTTTGTGGTCTGAATATCTTTTATCACGAAGACCAAAATTATGAAATGCATATTAAGTTTTGAGAGTTTCATTTTTTTGTTTTGTATTGTCCGTCCTGACAAATACATGTTATCAATCCATTTCTCATTGGCTTTGATTTCAAAGCCAACACTCCTGTAAGCTGGCATGTTTGTCATCTGCACCATTCAATTTAGGTCATAGTCGTGCTGTCTTTTGATATTAGTCTTGTTAAGTTGTTAGTCTTGTTAAAGTTAAACTATCACAAAAGCACCTCTATTCAAACAGGCAGGGACCAAATTGATTTCCCTCAGTGCAATAATCATTTGGGTGCACTGAACTGCTGAGGTGAAAATATTACATGTACATCACAACTTTATGAGCTAGTTGACTCTAAGCTGAGAACCAGTCACATGAAATCCACATCAAGTGGCATTTTTTGGTTGGTAGTCCGCTTTTGCCTTGCATACTTTTTTTCTGTGCTCACCTTTTGGTGCAAAAAGCATACACTGAATCAGCTGACTTAATTCTATTGGACTTGGGCCGTGATTTATCTCAGTGATGCAACCTAACAGGCCCAATCGGCATTCAGGTTTCAAGTCTTGTCTCTGATCACATGGAAAAGGCAAAAATTATGGGCATTAAAATGATAAATTATTGCATGTGTGTTCAACTTTGCTTGGCACACAGTTATATTGAGCAGCATTCCCTGCTGTTAGTTCTATGGAGTGAGAGCTCAGGTATTGGTTAGTGGAATGTACGCAGTGCAGCAAAAGAGTTATCCATGCTTGCTGTGTGATGGTTTTCATGTGGTTAGTACCGTTTAAATATAGCAAATGAAGGAATATAATTTGCCAGCATGACAAACATAATGAATTTGTAACAGAAGTAAATGTACATGGAGTTTTAAAACCCGAACCCAAAATAGCACTGGTAGGTGTGGGAGGAACGTGTACTTTGTCACAAAAATGAATAAAAGTTGTCTTCCATATGCAGATTTTAGACAGTCACAGGTGTCGGACAAATTGAACCGGTGGCATAGCCTAGGCTGTTCTCAGGGGAGGATGGGGCAAGGGGGGGCAAGACTTCCCACAGGGACCTCCTTGATGCCCTTCCCCCTCCGGTCACTCAGTGAGGCTCTCTTGGAAGGGGGCAAGAGGGCAAGAGGTTCCCATGAGGTGATAGTCCCCCGTCCCCTTGGTTACGCCACTGAAATTTACAACCCTGAAACTTTTTTTTGGGGGGGTACGACTAGCAAACATTCTTCCAAATCAATTTTTTGTTTTATGCAAGTTATCCACTGCATCACCGTCAAGTCAGTTTGCAAGACAAAAGTCAGTTGGCAAGTTCACTCGGAAGAATTTAAAGGGGCTTCGTTTGAATACATTGTGAAACGACATGACTAGCAATGGGCTTTGAGGGGACTATTTGATGAAGTGGACTACAGCACTGAGTTGTTCGTTGACAGGAGTTCCTGTAACGCTTAATTTGTCCCGGCAGTCCGTGGTTAGAAGCAGTATTCACATCATTATTATTAGCCTTCCGTGAAATATGGTAGAATTTTCCGTCCTTGAAATATAGTTGTTCGAATAAAGTTTGCATGCAGTACCCTACAGAGAATCCTTAGGCTTCTGATGTGTTTGTTAGCTGGATCATTTATTTCATGCTCAAGTTTGTACTATTAAACATTACATCGTATTCCTCCGTATATTTATATTGTATTCTGTGCAGTTTTGGGGTTCGTTGTGAAAGAGCATCTGTCTTGTTTGTATAAGTAAACACCTAATCGTTGTAATCTAGACCTATGCACTAGGATATTAACAGTTCCAAATTGCTCACCAAGTAATTCTTGGAGCTATTCAGCAGAAAAAGGACTTCGGAAACTTTCTGTCCGGGCCAGCGTTATCTGGCATTCTGTTTACAAGCAGTCGGTGTTACATAACATTCTTGCTGTCGTTGCCAAAGCTTTTCTACCCGGAGCAAATCGGTGTGCTTTGTGCAATTGGCCACTATGTAGGGTGCTTTATGTTTTAGGTGAGAATGCATAATCTTTTTTCCATGTGTATCATTCCATGGTGTGTTCATAATTTGGTGCCATGCCTTGTATAAGGCGTGGACCTAAGAATGGGATGGGGGATGGGGTGAGGTTTGGGAGATATATCGGTCGTGTCGCTCGATCACCTTCCATAAACCTCTCGCCAACCTTGGAAGTCTTGTGGCCCATATTTGTTTGCAACCTTGGACTTCTCGTAGAATCGTCCGACCAGAGATTGAATGATGTTGAAATATCTGTATCTAGGTACCACTGTGGAGTATTCTGTCGCTTCGTTTGTGTGTGCCATCTCGCTTTTGATACTCATAATTTCGGGATTAAAAAAAAAATTGGTTTTGCCTCCACCTGAAGAGGTGGAAGCACAGGAAAATTGAAGTCAGCTTGCAAAACGTCAACATGATTAAAGACTGTATCCATGCATTCAAGGGAAACCGAGAGAAATTTATGCCGCTTACCTGTGGAGAATCACAGCAGTTTAAATCCGGTAGTCACTTTGGCAGGAAGACATTGGTAATGATACGCGTTCCTAATGTAGGTCAGATTGTGACAAGGTTCCGCAAGGGGAACAGGCTTGCGGAAGCCAGCCACTGCCACGCTTGCCAACACACTGTGATTGGCCGAATCATTATTCATTTGGAGTGCACATTCTGTCCTGTTGCTTCAGAACGTGCATTAAAGTTGGCTTAAAAGATACAATAAGGAATCTCCTTGTGCAAATATCGTGACAGGTATTTTTTTACTGTTTTCTCGAGAAGTAGGTTCTGTATTGAATTGAAACTTTCACAGGTGACTTTAATTTATCTTTTTTGTTAATTTTGCCAACGAATTAGTATTATTATTTACCTGCCATCATAAAAACAAGTAGACAAAAACACATGATGATAGGAACTGAAAAAATGAACCTAATCGGTGTTGACCACAGGCATTTAGTTCCATGACGAATACAAGCAAGTAGACAGAATATCACAAGGACATACAAATTATATATAGAAATACATTAAAAGGTTAAAAAAATCATTAAACTAAGACAAAATTGCACATCAAAACGACTGTTCTTTCATTACTTTACATGAGCAGACTAGATCAATGACTGCAAAAAGACAAGTATATTTGTATTGTGTCTGGTCTGCACTACTTCCAATCAAACTTGGAACCTCCTGAAGCTGATCATGATGATAATCATTACGGTTAATAGCTAGACCCATACCCCATTGCGCCCCGTCCCCCAAATTTGGAAGGGAAATTACTGTTTTATGGTCACACTATTTGAGCGTTCTTCCAGAGAAATTAAGGACCCCAAATGCACACTGCAAGTTGCAATATACGCCACTGATACATTTTCATAGTCGAGCTTTGTTGCAATACAAAACTTAATTTAAGCAAAAAATGGTGTTATTAAAAGTAGCATCTGAAAGGGTTTAGTTTTGTTTTCGAATAATTTGGCACTATTTTTACGGGACCTTGCGTTTGTAAGACCACTGAATTTAATTGACTTGCTTGACTCTAAGAAACTCCGCACTTTGTTGCATCCTGTCTTTTTGGCTCATCGAGACCTTGAAAGAGGCGACGCAGTGGCAATTGCGTCAGCAGGCACATCGAGTTCAGGACACATCCCAGGATTGGACATCGGAGAGACCGCCGAAATAGGTAAATTTTGTTGACTTTTCGTCATATTCAGCCAAGGTTTGGGAATTGGAACTAGGAATTCTAAAGTGAAAATGAAATCAGATACCAAACACCTATTTCTACCCTTGAATAACAAACGGTTTTAAAAGTGTGTGTGTTGGGGGGGGGGGCAAGCCCCGGCCAGTAGACTGAAAAGAATACAATTATGGTAGGCCAATAAAGTGGGGGGCGGGGCACCTACCATTTACACCCGTTCCTCCGCCGGTGCCCTTGAAGCAACTTCTCAAAATCATCAGGAGCAAAGTCGTCAACTACCTCCATGGTCAATCGAGAGCAAATCCAGAGCCATTTTTGGAGGGGGTGGGATGGGGGAATGTTTTTGGAGGGTCCAGAGATGTTGGAAACTTTTGGTTAACCTTGTAGGCTATGGGTTTGCTGATGATTAAGTCTATATTTTGTTGCTTTATGTTTTTGGAAGGAAGGGGAACGGTTAAAAGCAACTCGCCTTTTTCGGGGCATGGTCCCATTGACCCTGTCCACCCTTGTATTCCATTTTAAGTCAATGTTTTGATAACAATAAATTCTTTTTGAACCAGTAGCCTTCTTCCTCAGTTTTCGCAGCAACAGTACCAAGCAGGTTGAAGAAATTTTCTTCAACCTGCTTGATACTGACTTAAATAGTTTCCTGACCAACGAGGAGTGGCTGTCAGAAAGGGAAGCATCCGTGACTTTGGAGAAATCACTAAGGATGTGGACAAAAATGGTAATAAAACACTGGATAATTGTGTTGACTTCCAAAGGTGCATGAAACCCACAGGCCCATCAAGCATAGGGTTACGGTACCTCTCTGAGATGCTTGCCAGTGATTTTCCAGATTTTGCATGAAGCACCACACATTACTTGTTTTCGTTTCCTTGATTTCCATGTACATAGGTAATGAGAAGATTCACACTAAGAGCTTCAGGTGTTCTTCAAGATTGTGACCTCAGTGCATTATGCGTGATCTATGATGTCACTTGTGATTTTTTTTAATCCGAGAAAATCCAGGTCTTGAGTCAGAGGGATTTTTCTCCCAAAAGACATTGTGCAAGTTTTTTGTTTTGTTTGTTTATTATTTTTTTGTCATTCGTAAAAAAAATTCAACCCTTCCCTTCAAATTAAGACGCCAGTAGTACATGTGTTATTTCTAACACTCTGACACTACCAATTTCCTGAAAACGTACCCAAAACATCCTTTGATGCAACTTGCCCTTTCTCCCCCTGGATATTCCGTCGAGTATTAGTGGTTTAATCAAAAGTAGCCGGTGGTTTAAAAGTAGCTAGTTTCAAAAGTTGCGAGTGCTTGGTTAAAAAGTGGCCAGGCGCCCCCTGTCGCTCGTTGATAGAAGGAGTTTTAAAAAGGCTGGCAGCTGGGAAATGTAATCTTTGAATTTTCGTTCTGGCCACTTTTTTGCCATAATGAAAAAACAGACACCCTTCTCTCATAGGTATTTTACCAGGTAGTCTAAAGTAGCAGTTTGTTTTAATAGCAGCTGGTAGTATCTAACCGTTGATTAAGTAAAGCTGCGGTAATCCTGTTGCTGGTCCGCTGACGAGGTCTGTTACCCCCCCCCCCTTTTGGAGCGATGATAGGTAATCTATCCGGTGGTCTAAAAGTAACCAGTGGTTTTAAGTAGGTCACGGCGTCCCTTTTACATGCTTTTCAATAGTTCTCATGCTTTTGACGCTGCCTTAGGTCTCGTCGTTTTGCAGTAATGAACATACATGGATGACTTCAACAAGTGCTCTCAGATCCCAAGTGCATTTTTCACGATTTTTCAAACTGAGCAAAAACATTTAAGCCATCCCTATCAAGTTGTAGTTGGTTTATAAAGGGTAAAATTTTGGATTAGTTGACTTCTTTTTTGAAGACGCTTTTGTTTGTCCCTGATTTAAATTGGCTCTTTTTTTTTACAAGTTTGTCGATGAATTTGCCAGTAGGTGGGCGTAGGTAGATCTAGCTTTCTTAGAAAAGCTAGGTGTGTTTAAAGGCTATGTACAGCGTCATGTGCCCAAAGCACACAAGGCTAAAGGGAAGGGTCATTCAATTCAGGGCAGGGTCTCTTACGCAGATTGTGAAATCCAAGTACATGTACTTTTTCGTACATTCTCGGGGATGGCGATGACAAAATAGGCTTTCCTGCTTCAAAATTTTTACAGTCTTTTAAATCACCTACGGATGCTATTCTCTCCACAATCACCATGTCAGTTCACCTCTCCACCCCCAAGATAAAGGAATTAAAGTTTTCAACAGCTTGGGTGAGACACGTGAAAATAAAATATGGTCAAACGAAAATACCTTATCGCTCTTCATTTATTGGCCTTCCTAGCTAGAATTATGTACATTTTAAGCACTTTCTTCATAATAGTAAATGACTGTCACTTTTGGTCTGAAGAATCTATACATGTACACACAAAAAGTCACATTACATTAAAAAGGACACCTCCATTTGAATCACATCGTCACTGTTCTACCTTACACAAAGAATAACTGGGTTTGAGCTAGTTTGATGGAACTGTTTAATTAAACCTCTACATAACAGTACATAATATCTTTTAATTTTTTTTATTTGTTATACAGAGGGAAATAAAAACTCCTGAGTTATTTGACTTCAGACAATTTTTTACACATAAAAACTTTGAAGTTATGCATTTTTTCTACTTCTGTACCAAGTGTGACAGGGACAAAACACCTGTTTATACTCTAATAATTTTTAATTTCTTCAATAACAATCATACTTTTTGCACATATACTAAATTATCACAGTTCCTTTATACATGTTATTTTACAGACAGTGTGACATACATCTTACAGAGGGATTTAAAGATCTCAAGGAATGTAAAGATGAATAATTTACAAATAACTGAATACTTTTTTTGTACCATCAGTAGCTGAATGGTCCCACCTAATGAACTGGAGAAAAACTGAAATACATGAAGTATCTTTGAAGTTATTTATTATTTTTTGCTCCATCCCCAGCACATACATGTCATAAGCAGTACATAATATCCGACTGGATTCTATCCTCTGATTGGCTCTTTTCTTGAAAAGAAAGTTTAGGAAACTCAAAGATGGATCTAATTAAAACAATCAAACTCTAGATTCAACCAAAATATTGAGTCACCCTGTGTTTGAGAAGTCTAAATAAAAATATGAGTTTGTTAAACACTGCATTACCTGAATGATAATTAAAGTTAACGACTCACGCACATGTATATTTTAATGCCAGGAATAAACTGTTTTGTCACAAGTGTGGGCTTGCGTACAGTTCACTTTTAATCAGCAATAAAATGACTGTTTTGTTCTGCAGCTTTCTCTGACATATATTGTTCTCATTATTTCAGTACATTGTGACAGGAATCTTCTTTGTTTTAGTAGACTTCAGCATGGTACTTCCTGCGCCGTGCTGGGGAGACCGACCTTGCCCGTGGCTGGTGTGGTTGTCTCCCAATCAGTGCCGTAGCCTCCTCATACCCCTGCCGGAAACCCTTCTCCATGTTCTGCAGGCTCTGGTCCAGGCCGAACGCCGTGATGGCGTGGGAGTGGTGGGCCTGAATCAGCTTTTCCAGCCGGGAGATGATCTCATAGTCAGGCACGGCCAGCGTGGTGACGTCCATGCCTAGCATGCGGGCGATGACCTGCCGGAAGTCCAGCAGCTGGCGCTCCCGCCGCTGGACCTCCAGCAGCAGGGCCTTGGTGGCCTGCAGGTCCTCACTCAGGGCCTTGACTGACTGCTCAGCCCGGCTTTGCAGCTCGGTAGCCTCATGCTCTGTGAACTCCAGCTCCTGTTTCATACCAGCGATCTTCCGTGCCTGCTTCTCTTTCGTCTTCTCCAACTTTTCCAGGGCCTGCTCCAGATCTGTGATGCTATTGTACTGATGCATTGACGTCAACTGTAAAACATAGTTATGAAAACAAACAAAACCCAGTTACTTCAATGTTTTCAGTATATAAAGGGACAATGACATCAGAGATCATTAAGTACAAGTTTCATCTTCAGAGAACATTGTATGAGGACAAGTCTCCCATGCACACTTCAGTCACCCTTATGACATATAGGTAATCTTGATATCCAATTGCTACAGCAACCTATCAATATAGTTATCTATTTTGCACAAAAAAGTCACATTTTGTATATTCTGAATTCAAACTACTGCTATTGAGCACTGGATATGGTAAAGTATTTCACCCAATTTAGATTTGTTACATTTTGGTCGTTTGTCAGAAAAATGCAGTGTTTGGTATTTGCCACGGTTTGTGGTGGAACAATTTTGAAAGACATAATTTGGACTGTGGAGACTATTTCTGAGGGGAAAAATGGACTCAGTAAAACTTGTGTAACTCTGTGACAAATACTGTACAGGGTCTACAACAAGCAACATGAAACCTATTTCATGATATTTATGTTCACATATGTAACTCAAGGAAGTCAATTTGGACACAACAGGCTCACTTCTTTGCAGATCAGGCCATTCTTGTTATTTATTCCTGATTATAGACCAAAAATCTACAAAGTTCAAAAAGAAACTGGTAGTGGACATACCTTGAGGTTGCTGACATCCAACATCTGGGCCTTCATGTCGATGATGAGCCTCTTGGCAGTGCTCAGCTCCCCTTTCAGCCGCTCCACCTCCTTGACCAGCTTGCGGCGGCCCACCTCTGTCTCGTCCCGCTCCTTCTGCAGGGAGGAGCGGCCGGCCAGCGCCTCCTCCAGCTGCGTGATCTTTTTGCGTAGGAGGTCCAGGTGCAGGTCCTTGCTCTCCAACTGCTCCTTGTTGGACTTCAGCTTGCGCTGCAGTGAGTAGACGTGGGTGGTCTTGTCGGCCAGGCTCTCGCCCTCCTGCCGCATCAGCTGCTTGGCCCGGGCCATGATGGCCTCGCCATTCATATCAAAGCCAAGGTCCAGGGCGATGGAGTCAAGCTTCAGCACGGAGGCCAGCGACTCTAAGAAAGCCATGTACTGTGGAGAATTTAACAAGCCAGAAAATTCAAATGAACTATTTTGCAAATATCTGTGACAGAAAAAAACAGACATTTAATCTGTACACTATGTGCAATGAAATTAAATGACTGCTTTGCTGTCTCATTGCTCTATGTAGACTTATCCAAAAAGACGCCATAATTGTTGTGATACGTACTGCACTATCACATGCACATTCTGCAGCTTGATGCATGTGTGCATTTGGCAAATCCTGATACACTATTGGCTGAAGAGGCATGTAACACATGCACACAACCTGTCAATGACCATTGTGCCACTATAATAATGTCCTTAATTTCTGGTCACCGAATAACGCTATAAGTACTAAGTTCCATGTGCATAATTTGAAAAGGCCCTTTTTATTAACAGTAGAATTTGTTCCAGACTTCAGGACTATGTGGGCCTTGAGGCTTATTACATGTATTGTTTCATTTTTCAGGAACATTAAACCATACCACACGAGGCCAAAGAGAGTCATCAACTCACCTTCCGTCGCTCTCCGCGCAGGTTCTCCAGCAGCACTGCGTCGGCTGACAGGCTGTCCTCCAGCTGCTTGATGCGGGTCTTCTGATCACCATAGTCCTCTTGTGCTTCCTTGGCCCGCTTCATGGCTGCCTGGTGCAGGTGGGCCTGGCTGTCAAGCTGCTCTGTAAGGCTTTTGATCTTGCCCTCCAGAAGGTCAACGTGCTGTGACAAGAAGAAGATAATCATTCCAAATTATGCCACCAAACTATGCCAACCTCTGTGACCATGGGGAAGGACAATAAAGATAGTTAAGTGAAAAAATTGCTCCTATTTTTCTGGAAGGATAATTTATACGGGAAGAATTTCATTTTATTTCTAATTTTGAAACAAAAGGCATGGCACAAAAATTTGAAGATATGCACAAGAACTATATCCAGTTCTGATGACATTAACTCTTTTATTGACTGAATCACCGGATTCAATAATCATATATCTGATTTTCCAAACCAATTGAGAACATACTCAAAACTTGTAAAGAAGACAAGTGCCAAAAACTGTGGTTTTTCATGGGTTGAGTACCAGGTTTGGTCTTTGGGAGAAATTAGTGACTTTCCTTTGATTCTGAGGTTACTCTCAAATTTGTAGCTTCACAGGTCAATGATTAAATCTAGTGCTTTTAAGATTTGCATGCAACAATCTGTTGTTATCACTCGGAGAGCCACTCACCGTAGCGTGTTCTCTGCTGTCTACCTGCAGATGCTTGACCCGCTCCTTGATGGCATCCTCCTTTGCCTCACACCGGTTGCCCTCCCGTGACAGCAGCAGTGCCAGCGACTCCTTGAGGGCCCTGAGCTCCGATCGAGCCACCTCGGCCTCATACTTCAGGGTCTTGGCCTCCCGGCCCAGGGTGGACATCCTGTTCTCCTGCTGGTCCAGCTCCTGCTTGTGGCTACTCCAGGCACGCTGGCTGGCATCCACTCGATCTTTCAGCAGGGCGTTCTCACGTTCCAGCTCATTGCGAATTTGTAGTGCTGCATCCCTCTCCTGTGGGTAAAAAAATGAAGGTGGCTGAATTGAAACATTTTAAGGTGGTTGAGGGCTACTTGGAATTGTGCAGTACTATGACCACACGGTTTGCAGCACTAAACCAAGGTTCCAGCTGACAAATTATGTTACAGCTTTCTTATGGAGCAGTAAATATTCACCATTAGGTGACAGTGACAACTAATGTGTCTGTCCTTGGGCATGATACAGTCAGTAAATGTTCCTCTCCACCCTGGAGTAAGAAGTCAAGAAACGGAGATGGAGATAGTCCTTGTGTTATGAATTCGCCATTGTGCTTGGCAAAAGCAATGGGCTATATATCCTCAGGGAGCTGAAATGATCTCAGGAATGGGTTCATAGACCCACTGAGCAAGGCTAATGACTATCATTAATAATTTAGAGTTTCACAGAAAGCATTTCTTTGATATTAGCTCGGGGTGGAGCAAATCATTTGCAGCACTGACCCAACTCCAGGCCCAACCCAGTGTGATCCTACCACATGTCTGTCGACTTGAGACTCTGACAGATGGCCAAGGATGGTGAGGGTCGACTGCCAGCCCCCCAGCAAAACTCACCAGCCTGAGTTTCTCCAACATGTTGGTCGTGTCCATGCTGTTGCGCTGGTCCCTGTTCATCTCGGCCACCAGACGCTGGATGGTCTCCCGGCTGGCCTTGGACTCCAGCTCACTGCTGTGCAGGCTGTCCTCCAGCGATGACACCTTGCCCCGCAGGGTAAGGTTCTCCTGGATAACATCTGTCACCTGAAGGCCAAGAAAGACCTCACTTCATGTAACATTTGACTTTATATTTGCAACTCATTTTGTTTCTGTTTTTTTCTTCATTTCATTCATTGTTGTCAGGAGTCTGGTCATACACATCTTCGGATGACAGATTTTTAACTTTTGTATTTCGAAGACAGCCCCTGAAAAACTCTTATTGTTTTTATATCTTACAGATTTAGAATAAATAAATAATTAGACAGATAAACAAGTGAATACAGAACAAAGAAAACAGTAAACTCTGATTTACAATGTAGATGGAAATCAAGGCTGTTTTGAAATAAGTTTTGTCTTGAACAATTTTTTTATCTGCTGCCTTCTATGGTCTGGAATTAGGCATACAAATGCCTAAAACCATACAAATGGTTCCCAGGCAACTACGAAGTCCAGCAGAGGCAAAACACTTTTCAAAGTGAGACCATCAGACATTAAAAGACCTATACATTGTACGTTTTTCATTAGAGGATCTGCCAAAAGTTGAAAAAGTGGGGGGGGAGGAGGGAACGAGCCCCCACTTCGAATGCTAGTGCTCAAGTCATCAACTTTGAAATAGATTTGTGAGATTGGGGAGAGGCCCACCTTCTTGACGATCGTCTCAGGTGTGTGGCCCTTCCCATCGATCACCCCTTGCAGGTCCAGGAACACATCATGCCACTTCCTCTCCCAGGCCTGAGCCCTTCTCTCAGCCTCCTCCCGCTCTGTCAGCAGCTCCCGCGCCCGGCCCTCTAGCTCAAGCACCTTGGCCTGTCGCTCCTTGGCCTCAGCCTGCAGTGTCTGGATGGTGTACTGGCCACGGGCCTGTGACTCCTCTACACTGCTGGAGGAGTCCTGCAGCTCTCCGATGCGGGCTTTCAGCGACAGCACAAGGGAGGACTGGCTGGCGCTCTCCTGGTTCAGTCGGTCAATCTCGGCCTTCAGTTCCTTGATCTGCAGCTCCCGAGCCAGGACCTTGCTTTCAGTGTCTCTCAACTGATCCATAAAAAGTTCAGAATTGTTTTCACATCATCAAAAACGATACAATATTTGGAGAATAACCTTGTGAATGTTCAATATTGATTTTAAATCAGCTTTTTGTATATCAGAGATTATCCACATCTGATCTTTACCATCTCATATATTCTGATTCTTATGTTATCGAAAAGAAATATGAACCAATTTCATCAAAAGCTGTTTTCAGCTTTTATATGGAAACTTTACACCAATGGAACAATGTTTACAGCTCAAATCGTATCGTTTGAACGTTCAACTTTAAAAAAATGTTTAAGACAATACTCTTCTAAAGAGATTGATCTACGAGCTAATAAAATTGACTGACAAATTCTGAATCAGTGCTAAAAACATTTTATCATGAAAAAGAGAAGGGAATATATAATTGATGGGTTTGTGAGATCTTAAATCTACTTTGTTTGTACAAATACATGTACTTACTTCATCAGCAAGTTGCTCATTCCTAAGTTGAAGCTTAGCCAAACTCGTTGAATCCAGAGACGATTTCAAAATGGACTCCCTTGGGTAGAATGCGTCAAGCTAAGATGATAATCAAGAACAAAAGGTAGTGAGAACTGTAGTCATTGCATTAAAAATAGTCATCCTCCTGGAATACTCATCAGTTGTCGAGCATAACAATTCTCATAGAAATAATCAAAATTGATTAATCCAGTTTAATACGGAAATCTATCAGGGAAATGAGAATAAGTAGCTATGGGTGGTTGATAGGCGATACAAACAGAGAATCATCTATGTCTGTATATAGTTTAACTACAAAATAAAAAAAATCCTTTGCAAATTACCTGACTACTTTTATTCGTCCCAGGTAAAATAAGAAATTTATTTTCAAGACAGGAAACATTTTATGGGGGGGGGGAAGAGACAATTGTTACCTTTTCATCAAATGAAACCCTCTTCTTATGGCCCAGTGTTCCCAGCTCAGTTCTGCAATGAGATCCAAGGAAAAGTCGATTTTTAATTTGGAAGGTATATTGTACAAAAAGGAAAACCTTTAAAATGAGGGACTAATTACGTGTAGTTAATATCAATTTTTAATTGAAAACATTAGTTTTTTCCTTAGAAAACAGCACCCACAAAATTAAACAAGGCTTCATAAATGCAAAAAATACAACATTCCTGCCAGATCTCTGGCTATAAATCAAACAACTCCATGCTGTTCAATTCTGCAATATTTGCACGAGCATATATCACCGTTTTCTGCTTATTTTCTTGTCTTTCTATGAATGTGCCACAACTGCATGATTCAAGCAAAATTTTTCAAATGCTCTGAACTGAAAAGAACAGCAAATGTTGTTGTACTTCTTAACACAAAACTCTGATGATAATAATCAACTCCTGAAAATAATCTACACAAATCTGACAAACATTGTTATCAATTATAATTGTCAATGTACTTTCTACTCTACAGATGAGCTCTGTTTACCTTGATAGCTCCTGGATGAGTTTGTCTTTCTTGTCCAATTCACTCCTCATCAGCTTGACTTGGTCATTCAACTACGTGTAACAAAACAGAAGAAAAAAATCCTAATAGCACTTTTTAGACTCTGACTGAACATGTCCTCAATGAAATCAATACCAAATAGGCCGAGGCCCACAAACCCAATCATGCAGTAGACCAGAGGGCAATTGGAGAGTGACGTTGTCATGGATACAAGAGGGACGGATTTATTATTGCAGACACAGATGATGAATGCAAATTAATTGTAGGACCCTACAGCTCTTGGTCAGAGGAAGAAATGTTCATAAGTCATGCATATGCGTGTAAATGCATCACACGTAGTGTACATGTATGTATACTGTATGGTGCACACACATAAAAACATGTACGCCGTGCATTAATAACAGGGCAAAATAATGATCTTCTCTACCGAAAATTTGTTGAAAACACAAATATTGTTGACATTGGCTGAATTAAGACTGAAATGTACAATCAAGTGCAAAAATAAACTGAGTGCTTAATCAGGTTTTATTGTTGCTATCACCCTTGAAGTCAAGGAAGTACATTGATATGGCAGTACATTACTGCTGAAAGAGCATGCATCAAACATGTTCACACTATATATAAACTTTTCTTTCCATTATTAACAGTTTTGTTTTTTTTCAGTATTTTCACCATGAATAATGAACAATCAGAGAAAATGGCGGTTGTAATGCCCTTTAACAGGCAATTCCTGTGCAAAACATAATCACATTCATATTGATACCTTTTCTGGTAAAGAAGAAGGTATTTTCAGGTTTTACTGACAGATTTGGTGAAGCAGTGGGAGGTGACCCAATGTTAATTGCCAGACCTACAATTGTGTCTATTTTTTAGTGAAGATTATGTAGCGCGGTGTATTGGTCTCGTGATTTTCTCTGCCATTTTGTTAGCAGTCAGTGGTTTCAAGATTATGATAAACGATGCCACACACCAATAAAGTCTAGGGTAATTAGTGACATAGACACCTTGTCATGAATAAGTTTTCGTTTTTTTTGCTTTCAGATTTTTTTGTAATTTCCCTTTATTATACAGCTCAACTACAATTAATGTATATTTGCAGTTTCAACATTTTCCTTTACAAAATTGTGGACTGAAGGGAGAACCAAATTGAATAATGTCAGATAATTTGATTTTCTGACAAGAGTAAATTCAACTCAATTCATCAAGGAAACATGCTTTGTAAACAGTTCAAAAGTATTAACTATTCAAAATGAAAGAGAGCGGCGGGTGAATATATTTAGAATTACATGCTAAAATAAACAGATCAAAAAAAAAATTAAAGCAAAGTTCCACTAATAAGTTACCTCTAGGAAAAAAATTCAAAACCGCCATTAAAATGTAATTTTAGAAATTGTGCACACAGTCAATACATTTTTGAAAACAATTTTGAAATTTTTTGTCACAATTAATGTAAGACTTTTGAGAGGAAAATAAATTATGGCATGTATTTCGTGGTAAAAAAGTATTAATAGTACTTTAAAAGATCTTTGGTGTGTGAATTAACAGCCTAAGTGTATCCTCAGTGATGCTTGCTGAAATAGAAATACATTTACAAATGAATCAATCAAATGTTGTCGAATTGGACCACTGACTAATTGATATCTATATAAGAACTTACTTCTTGCAGTAATTTCTTGGACTGTGGGGGTGATGGTGAGTATCCACCTTGCGTAGATCCCACGGGGGGTGCTGATCTGTTATGCCTGAGCCTTTCGATTTCCTCCTCGAGAAGGAGTAGACCGCGATCGCTGGCCGCGGCCCGGCCTGCGGATGAAATTCTCGGCAGCCCATTACTCGGAGACTGCCTCCCGTATAAATATGACATATTTCACGCCTTTCCAATCTAAATCGGACAGCAGAATATACAGCTTCGGATGTGGTAGTTATCTTGATAAAAAGTGTTCAGTTTAACGTGACACTACTTCGTGTAGTGTTATTCTCAATGAATGCATTGATGAGTTTCTTCAATCGGGTTGAACTATGCCGCTGTTGATATGGGCAACTGCATCAACACAACAACCTGCTCCACGACCGACATTCCCCTGCAAAAATGCACCTGCAATTCGCTGGTACCCGATACTGGCATGTGCATAACAAGGGAGTAGAGGTTACTGCTCACCAATGTTTACCAATGTGACGTCACGCACATATAATCGCTATTACCTCGGCGCATTACTTGTACATCACTAGTTCGTACTTATAATCGCACAAATTGACGTGTGCAATTGCATTGAAGGAGCATGGAGAATCGATATTTTTGATTTGAAAAGTACATCACAATGATTAATTTTCTAATGTGGAAAAGCAAATTAGGACTGAAGATTTATTAAAAAAGTCTTAATGCCAACCAAACATACACAAGACGCATTGGAAAAGATACCTGAAGCTTGAATGTACACATTTCAAACACTGGATTTGCAGTAAAAAGGCAGGGTTGATTTAGAAAAATAACAGTTGGGTCAAACTGGTACAATACATCATTAGTACACAAACACATACACACAAAGTAGAGAAACCATCTCGTCTTTAGTTATGTTGTAACTGTACACAACTTTCGTTTATTAAAACAAGTTAGGAGTTTAAAACAAAACAATAATTTCATGCCACATTTTAAATGGTTTTATTGAGTTTTAAGTTTTACACTTTAGGAACGTTACTGCTATGTTTCTTTGGAAAGTGGGGTTCTTTTGCGAATGAAATAACAATAGACATTTCCTTTTATAAAAAAGTCTACCTCTAGACTCAAAATTTGGAAACATCATTAGTTCTTCAATGGGACTTTTTCTAACAAACTTCCTGCCCATGGGGAAATCTGAATTTTTTCAAGCTTCCTAGAAGATATTAGTGACCTCTTTAGCATGCTCAAGTCAAACAGTGGGAGAAATAAAAAGGCTTGTGAGCCAGTTTTGAAGAGAAAATCATGTCTGTTCTTGGCAATTTTCGAAAGAGCCTGACTACACTCACGTCACAGTGTGCAAAATTTTGAAACTAGACTAAACAGGTAAATGTACACTAGGTGTGTTCTGCAGTGTCAGTCATATGTAGTTCCGTGGTGTATGCCCAAGAAAGCTGCAGTTATCTGTCACTTGCCCTTCACATATCCACCTGTACTTTGCAACTCATGCTGAAACACTTACCAGTGTAACTAATAATTTAACAATCCAACCAACAAAGGTAAAGTTCGTCTCTGGTAAAATGTAACATTTCAATCTTTCTCATGTGTGCAAACACTTAATGACTCCTAGAAACTGTATTTATGTGTTATACGATTCCTAAAGAGTTTTTGAGGTCACTTCTTTGGTTGGGCGAGCTTGTAGAGGGAGTAGCAGGTCCAAGCTGTTCCAAAGACAGTCAGGGCCATGACAATGCTGTAACTGATTCGGTCTGTGAATCCTTTCTTGAGATGGACCGGCAGACCATCGGGTTTCTGAAAGGCAGAGATCAAATGACCAAACTCTCAAAGATATGCTGCTTTAATTGCAATACATGTATATACAGACTGGTGATCATGGTACAGGAGAACCTGGCAATATGGTCACTGTACAATCTGGAAGCTCCCCAGTAATGGCTGAACTACATGTATTGTGCTGTCTGCTGAACAGAAAAGTTCTGAGGGGCCAGTCACTTATACAACAAATGGCACATTCCTGCCATTGCTGGGGGCTTCCACATGTCCTCATCTGTGAGCACACTGGTGTTGCAGTCGAGTTCATTACAAGTCCAGTTATAAATCCAGTCACAAGCCCTTTCATACAACCAGTCATTAGTAACAGGGTGGACAATGACAAAGGTATACCTAAATAAATATGACCAGATGGCCATAGGTCAAAACAATGCCCTGTTCTTCAGACAAACTATTTCATTTTAGAATTTGAGAAAAAGATTTAAGAGAACGAGCCTCAGTAGGAACTGATGACATAACACTTTGCTTTTACATGTACCCTTCTCTATGGAGATTTGCATCCACTGTCCTCTCCTGGCTTCCATAAGAAAGTGCACATGTAAATAAAGTGTGACCTCATTAGCACATGGGCCTGTTGAGGATAAACCTTCAAGCATGGCCTTGGCTGTTACCTATGTTACCTATGCTTGATAGACATAACTCTTTAGAGCAGTAGTTTATCTGCTAGAGAACAGTACAGCCTGACAATCAAACAGCAATGAGTATCAAGCGAATTGAAGTCAGTGGAGTGATTGGGTCCAAGTTAAAACTTGGAGCGCTTGGGGTTTCAATGGTGGAAAGTGAGGGGCTTTGATCACGGTTGGTGTAAGTTTGCTTCCTCCAACAAATTCTGAAGGAAATATTGGAATGAAGGCCTCTCCTTCCACCTCTGCAGCCTGGGCTCGAATCCTACAGGGCAGCATGTGGATCAAGGTTTTCAGTCTCTGTCTGAGTCTGTGGATCTTTCTCTGGAACATTTATCCGAGGTTTTCCTCCCACTTCTAAAACTGAACATTCCTTCATTGTCTTGTCAACTGTCCCTTCATCCTGTAAGTAGGGCTGAATGCACTGTTGGATTTTTTGTAAATAAATACAATGACCTTTGATGGAGCAACCTGAAAGAAAAGGAAGCTTGAGGCTTCATCTCACCTGGAACACTCTCTGGTTTTCATAGACTCTGTTCCTGATCAGACTGCCCATAACTCCATCTCCCCCCATGGGGCTCCTGAATCTGGCTACTGGCTTGGGCTTTTGGTCCCAGACAATCTGACTTGGCTCGGTCACTGTTGCCTGCAGTCCCTGTGGAACAATCAGTTACAGTGAAACACACAATAACATTGAACTTTGTGACACACACAGTAAAATTATGGAGCAACAGATGTGCACAAAAGCTCTCTGGGAAGATTTCCAGATATGGATGCCACTTGACACCCAGTGCACAAACCCTACGAGACTGGTCTGAAAAATTGTGTTTTCTCAGTAAACTACATGTACTTGGTGTTTTTCCTCCTAAATTGAACTTTTCTGGACATGTTTTTGCTTTCTGATGGCTAATAGGTGACAGTAGGGAATAATTACTGGCGTCTGTACAGGAAACCTTCCCTTACTTTCAGAGGGAAAATGCCACAATATCATAACCTTTTGTGGGGAGTGATGCCATATGAAGGCTTACATACAAGGAATAAGTGGAGTTCTTGCAGGATAAAGGTTTGATCACAACCAAATGGTAAAAAGGGCAACTTCTACATTCCTAGTCACGTTGACTTATTCATCTGCTTCTATCACTAGCAGAGTCCTACTCCCAGACCCATAAAACATGAAACCAGGCCTGGCATAATTTCACAAATGCAAATGGGCATAAATCCCAAGGGGAGGAGATATGAGTATCTATACCCTACATTTTTTGACTGGGGGATGAGTTATTGAATCATTCCCTCACTTTTTCACGGTGAAAAAAACCAAAAACACAATGAGTTTTGAGGAATTTTCAAACTTCCAAACAAAATGTATTCAGGAGCACTCAAAATGGGAGAATAAAAAAGTAATAAATATGCTAACTTTTATTCATAATCACTCAATTGACAAAGGAAACAAAAAAAATAACATTTTGAAACTTGAAAAATAAGAAAAGGGCCCTATTTGTACCCCTGTAGCGTTTCACTGAGTCAACGAATTTTAATGACAGCATGTGATATGTTAAAAGTACATTACTAGAGAATAGAGGGTAAACTGTAAGATGACATGAAATGATGAAGGCTTGCTGTTTTTTGGGGGGGACTCACAAAACAAACTCTAATATTTGTGTCTAGGAAAATTCTCCAAAAAAGGTCATTTATTATGTCAAGCAAAAAGTAAGATTACAGATTAGCTTTCCGACATTTTGGAGTCTTTTGCAAAACTCTTGAATACGGACAAAAAATACAAATGACCGCTGGCTATGCTGGCTGCATAGCTTCCACAAAATTTCACTAAAAGGTGAGCTGGTGAGTGCGTAGAAATACTGTAGGACTGTGTACATTTAGTGGGCCTGACCATTTTGAACATGTTGAACTGGAACTTTAAGTTCAACAGAAAGTTCAAGATCAGCACTTTTGGGTGGATGTCGTTATTGTGTTCCCAAAGAGGTGCGCAGAAGACAGAAATAACATCTCGAGGATACATGTACAAAAGTACATTTGTATCGATTCACAGAGCCTACTAATAAAGTACTAGCCTAGGTTTGCTCATGGTTTGCTACTGGTGCTAGCCTACATAGATTTAGACAATACATGACAAAAAGTTACCGCGGGCGAGTATGCTGTTTGTGGTGGTGCTGAACCAACCCGGCCACTCATTGAGTTATACTTGTAAGCCATTTTCCAGCACTAGTTTCAGTGAATTCATGAAAGTTGGAAGCTCGAACCGGACCGCACAGATTCAACCCCTTTCAACGCCAGTCCTTCACATATGCGCTGTGTGTACGCGCACGAACAATAATCATGTCACAAGAGGGCGCCCTAACTAAAAAGTTGGGCCATTATGATCTGGTACCCAATGGAAACGGTATGATAAATTGATATTGAAGAAAGCGTGGAATCCGTTTCACAAAACAAGTCACGTACGCCATTTTTCTGTGGAGTTTTGTTTCGCTAGAGAAAAAAGAATTGGCGTGGGCCTATTTCTAAAACAGGAAAATGAACAGAGCGCTGGTAAGTATTTATGTGGTTGCCATTGTAACTTAGGAAGTCAAGTCCATGATATCTACATGTTCTTTTTTTTTTAACCTTCACATTAGTAATAACTAATGTGAAGGTGAAATAAATTTGAACGTATCAGGTCCCCTCTTCGTTTTTGAAGTAGAGGGCGCCCGTTGGCCTGAGCAAGACATGTAAACTATAGACATACATGTACAAGTACACATAGACTACCAATCTTGCGCGTATAACCGTGATTTTAAAAAGCGTGGGCAATACAATGGGCGAAATGACGAATGGCATGGTTCATTGCGAATTGCTCGTGACGCACTGTAAACGCATTTATCTGTGGATTTTGGGTCAGCTCGTATCCGAGTTAACTCGTACCCAGGTCAACTCGTACCCTGGTCCCTCGTCAACTCGTACCCCAGTCAACTTGCACCCTTGAAAGAAACATGAGTTTGTGACCCAAACAGGTTAAGATTTTTTGTCTCGCTTTTATACCCCAAATGGATTGCAAAAACGGTCTTCCCCTTTTTTCCGTTTTTCTAACTGTTTGGATGATGTTAGATGCTACACGCAAGGATGGTCCTGTAAATGAAAAGCTGGGCAATTAATTTTATTTTAATAGTCTAATTTTAACTTGATCCAAACCATTGGGTGGGTAAATATGGTTCCAGTCTACACTGCTTTAATTTCTTCCTATTATTCCTACCCTCCCGAGGCTCCACCACAGTCTCCATGTAGACATAAATCACAGAATGACCCACCCTCCAATAAACATCCAACATCAATCTGTAAGAGAGGGCATCTCTGAATGGGATTGAGCCATCACTTCTTATCCATCCAATGTGTCTTCAGCCCATCAGGTCTCACATGTTTTCTTCAAACGACTTGGCACAGAAGCCGCTTTCAATATCGAGCAACTGACTGACCGTAGCCTGCTACATGTATGTCCTTTGAAGTGCGCCACAATGATTTGGATGCTTCCGGCCAAAGCATGTGCATCATGCGTGATGGTTCTGCTTCATGAACTGACTGAAGCATTCATTTTCGATCATAGTTTATTTGACTTCTTTACACAGTAGGTGACATATTCCCAACTCTAATAAGAGGTGGTAGCAAGTTCATTTGCAAGTCAAAGCAATGCACCTGTCCCTTAGGCTCCCCAAAGGAAGCTAACCTCAACACACACATGTTCGATCAAAGTGTAATTCACTGATTTTATTGAACATCTGGAACATCTGTATTCAGGGGCACTGTAGTCAGATGCCATTTATGTCCTACTTCCTAAACACAGTGGGGATTTTTCAATAAAAAATCTGAACTTCCGCATATTTTCTGCTGACCGGATCTGGGGAGTACGAGTTGACCCTGGTACGAGTTAACCTGGGTACGAGTTGACCCATTTTGTATTTGTTTACATAGGCTCTAAAAAGACCTGCCTTTTTTGCTCCTTTGTACTGTTATCTTTTCTGTTCAAATGTTGCAACAGCACTTTTTGAATCTGCATAGGCCAGATTAAGTTAACAGAGGATTTTTTCACAATCGAAAAATGGCTTCATAGAATTTTTTGGCTGGAATTTGTCATCTGTGTGTAAATTCCCTATACCGAGGGGTGAATTTGCCCATGCTTTTGGGTTTAGTCGGGTGTCGTCTCAGCTATGGTACCTTGCAGTTGTTTTGAATAGGAGTTGCCCGTCTATGTGTTTATATGTCTGTGGTCTCTACAAATTGCCTTTTTAACATTTGGACATGGTCAAGCACGGTAAAAGTAGAGTCCAAGGCTCTTCCATATAGGTGTACTTTTGCTTTCGTTAATTCATTTCACTCAAAATAACTGGCTCATTGTCATACCCAGAATCAAAATCCTTCTGAATTCACCTCCAAAATGCTCCAAAACTTTCTAATGTGCATGGCCTGGGATTAAGCGAGAATCAGATTCCAATAATGTTGGTAAGGTTTACTCACGTAGGAACAAAGGAGAAATTTTCCCTTCAAATTGGAAATGCTCTTCTCTCGAGCTCGACATCGCCATCTTCTTCATTCAGCGGTTCAAACTGTATGCTAATGTATCTGGAGATGACGTCATGACTCCCCAGCTGGGCTAGTGAACTATTCATAAAAAAGCAAGCAGTGTCTTAATGCGTATGCTGATGACTGTTTCCTGAGCAGTTTTGGGAGTATAGACATGATAGACCTTATCTCTAATACCCAGTGATTTTGCACAATTGTAGAAAGGTACTGCGGGAAGAAAAATGGGGCAATGCTTATTCCTTTTTCTTTCCCATAATGCCTTTCTATCATTGTGCAAAACACTCATGTGGCATAATTAGCAATGAGGCTTCTGGTATTGTTTAGTTTGTTGCATTAACAAAGTCCGCGTGAAATTTATGTGTAGTTCAGTTATGCTCCCATAGTAAGTTACTTGGAAATTAATTGTGAATTTTTGCACTGCCTGACGTGTATTAGAACACTGTATACTCAGTGTTTGCCCGAGCTTGCCGGTCCAGCTGGCTGGTTCGAGTTAAATATAGCAGTGGGTACTGCGAACGACTATTTCCAAGGATGGAAGGTTCCAAGGCTGCTTCATCCAGCTCGAACCAGCCAGCTGACACCAGAAAGCTCGGCAGTCGAGTGGTTAAGACGTCTGCACTAGTAAGCAGGAGGTCGTGGGCTCGAGCTCCCTCCGAGTACGCATGTGTTTTTTTTAAAAGCCTCTGGGGGCAAACACTGAGTATACAGTGCTGTAATACCTGCGGGCAGGGCAAAAATCCCAAATTAACATGATCTTCCGGCTCAAATCCATCCTTGGATGTACTTGGAAATTGTTTTCCAAATTAGTCTTACATGTATGTCATTTTAAGGCCTGTACATCAGTTTTTACATGTACTTAAAAGTTCACAAACAAAGTGACGCCGTATCTGTCAAAATTGATCCACGGACCAACAGAAATTCAAATTTGAAGGTCCTGCTCAATGGCGCATTGTTTCAGTGGAAATAAGGAAAGAAACTGTGATCAGTTCCTTTTCCTTTTTTTTATTTCATTAATTTTTTAATGTAATAAACTGTCATGACTTCTGGTTCGCCAAGCACGAAAAACATTCACCTTGATCACCTGATTTTTATATCAGCAAACTTCAAGAATATAAAACATTAATCTACATAGCAACTGTTAAAAACTTATGGTAATATGCAAGAAAAGTCTTATTAGGTTAAATATATATGATGCAAGGCATCTAGGTGAAGTTATTTGTCAAGCGTTTTAAACCAATTTCAACCATTCAGGGTTTGTCATCATTACACTTCAACAGCAGCACATTGGTCAGGTTAGGACTTCAAAAAGTCACTTTGTACTCCTCAGAATGCTTAATGATACATATGTACACAATACATGACCTCATCCACATTCTGTCATGTAGATGGTGGTGTAACATCATGCATAATCAAAACGTACATGTACATGAATTTCACATGTGGTGCTCGTGGATTATATACATGTATTGATGCGTTAGCATTTCATGTTTATGTACTGATGGGAAGATCCTTTTTGGAAATTTTGTTTAATAGATTCTGAGGTCCCTGTTGCCACGTGCCAGGGCTAGCTTTTCCACGACAACGAGGTCCCAAATTCAGAACAAAGTCAAAGAAAATCAGCTGCGATTTCAGGTGGGTAGACCATGCATGAACGTTGTTTGGGAAAAAGCCACATTATTTTTCAGGGGAAAAAAAATCTGTCGAAAAAGGGAAAATGACCTCAGATGAGGAAGTCACCCAATTTCTGATGGTTTCACTTCACAATGAACTTTTCACAGGCTTGGTATTACGTTTGGCCAAAAATATGAACTTCTTACAACGACAAGATACCACAACCAGTCTTTGACAATGATGGACTTTACTGTCCAGCTGACCCTTGGTGGGCACTCATTCTGTAATTAGGCCAAACAAAAAAATAGCTGTGTTTCCGGCTACCCGACCCAACCTAGAAAATCACATGGAACCTATATCTTTTTATTCAACAAATCAATAAAATATAAAAACTTATGGTGCCTTGCCCTGAGCCTAATTTTGTGTATATCGTCCTGTACATTGTATTGTTTTAATTTTTTTGCATGAGAACAGCTCTTGTGTGTTTGTATTTCAACAACCAGCTACTTGACTACTCAATCACAGCGCTGATATGTACATGTAATATTGACGTGCACATGTACAATATTAATCTGACACTGACAAGTTACAAATATACGCCCCCCCTCCAAAAAAAATACAGACCATCGTCCAACCCTAATTTTTTTGGCTATAAAAAAGAGTAAAGAAAATTTACCCAACCAACAATTTTTTTTTTCAGTGTAATAGGAAACACAGCTTAATTTTTGTTTGGTCTTACGAGACATTTTGTTATTGGATCATTGCTTTATTGAAACTCATTGTTGCAGAAGGGTATTTCAAGTGAAAGCCTAAGTGAAAAAAAGGGAAGTGGATCACCTTCTTCAGTGAACTTAAAGAAGTTGGTATTTGTGCATTGTACTTGTGGATAGGGTTTCTGCCTGTTTGGCATGGGATCTGAAAGCTTAAAACGTAGCTCAGAAAGCATTTGGTACGATAATGATAGCATGAAATGGTTTATTGAAACCTATTTTAGGAGGTTTCCTTGGGGACAGGAATCAGTGTGGAAAATTGGAGCTTACACCTGTTTCAGACAGGCATTCTGGGGTTGCGTCAAATCAAACTCGGACGACCTAATTAAATTTTGGTGTCAAGACAGATGAACTTATTACATACATTTGCATTGGATTTGGCCCATGAAAAGAGCAGCGAATGAAACCAAGTCGCTTTGGTGTCGTTCCGAGTGCCGATCTTTCACCTGGAAGCACGCCTCATCGCTCCTAATTGTTTCAGACGTCGAACTTTTGCAGTACTTATTTCAAAATTTGCTTTTAATTTGGTTCAGTGTGACTCTAAATGCCTTTCCGAAATGAGTGGTTTTATTTGTTCATCGCTATGCAAAGTCTTGCTGGAGTTGAACTTGGGGTTTCACTTTTGAAGGTGCTGGAAAGATCACGTTATTATGATAAAGTGTCGCTAATTAGCTAGTGGCCCCTTTTTGTGTCTGCTGTCAACAGAAAGACGATGGCTTGCCAGTGCACCTGAAGGGAGGTCTCATGGACACATTTTCATACACCGTAATCATGGGACTGACGGTGGCCGGCACTGCATGGGTCTGCTACGAACTATTCACTCTCTCAATGCCCAAGAAGTAGACCATTTCTGTCGGCAGCCCAGAAACCCTCTTTCTCCATAGTTCCTCACGTTCATCCCCACACACTCAATCCTTGTTTAATGTGTTTTTGATAGAGCAAAGATGGGCAGGAAGAAGCCATTAAAGCCGGGAGTTCTGTTGATCCGAGGGTACGGATTGCCTACAATGCGGCCATGACCATTGCCGGAGTCTGCTTTGCATTTCTGGGCTTTGCTCTCTATGTTGCGGCCCACAAAACTGATCAACAGAATGAAAAGAAAACTTGATCCCAAATCATAGTAATTACCACATTTTACAATACAGAAACTCAACACCTTCAACTGCAGCTGTGTTTTTGAAGGGATGGAGTGATTGGAATGCCTCTTGTGAGACTATTAAACAACCTTTCATCTATCAAACAATTGACCTTTGCACTCTGGCAACCTTCAAATAATTCAACATGTATTAGTTATGTGCTGAGGCAGCTAACCATTTGATAAAGGTATGCATCAAGTTCTTCAAGGCAGCTTTAAGATGGAGCTTTTTAAAGCTAGTCAGTTTTGGGTGTCCACAACAGTAATTATCAAAAACAGTTCATCAGTATTGCCTGGGGCGAGAGTAAGCTAGCCCTGTTTGGTTTTATGTTTACAGAATACACATACTTAAAAAACCCAGTGCATCTTACGTGTATTATTAAAATGTAAATTATACCTTGTTCTGGTATTATATCAAAACAACTGCTTTCAGCAAATATGCACTGTGTTGGTCTGAAGTTCAAGCATGCCCATTTGCACAGACCAGTAATTTCAATTCAGTGTTTTTAATGTGTTAAGATGTGACTGGTGTGTAAAGCTTTGTCTGTGTATTCAGGCATGGAGTTTTAAGCAGCTGGCTCTATGTGACACCCATTTCATTGTGCCTGACCATTCAAAATGTTCAAGATGGCTGCCGGCAAAAATCTGTGCTGAGAAATCCTATTCAAAATCATCTGTTGTGGAATTGAAACATAATCCTAAATAACCCTGTAGTATATATGAAAAGTTGATATTGAAACAGGAAGATTCAGGACTGCTGAAGAAAATAACGAATTTCAGTTCCACAGAATGAATGTATGTGCATTCCCCCCAGTTTCTCAGTCACACGTTGAATTTAAGCCATTGCCATGTTAGGATTTTGTTGGATACATGTATTTACTGGTTCACAGGACTGTATTTTTTTTCTGCCCATTTTTGGTCCACCATTTTCACAATGTTAGAAGAAAGACATTTAGCACAGTATGTTAATTTATCCTGAGTGTGAAATGAGTTTGCATGTATAAATTTTGTTTTTAATCAATAAATGGAGGCATGTAAAACAAAGGAGACAAACAGGCAGAAAATGAACGTATGATTTGTGTACAAGTGTAGCGTCTCCACATTGGAGCAACATAAATGATATTTGATGGAAAAGTTTCATTTGTTCATAATGTCAAGGGCACACTGCACTCTGTGTACCTTCTAAAACAAGCTACATGTACAGTACATGTACATTGACTTTTATGGTGCACTGTGCACAATGCATAGGTTTTACATTGCATTATAGAGTACATGTATGACTGAATGTCCCTTCCAGCCACCACATGGCATTCACATTTCAAAGTGATTGATCGAAGTCAAATGGACACCTATTCGTGTTCCCAGCTCGTGTGAAACATGTCATTTGTGCACACAAAGCGTAGAAGTATTTTTACGGTCTCAACATTTTTTTTAGACCATATATTGATATGTGTGTTCTTGTGAGTTCAAATTAACTCTCCAGAATAATTAATTTGCATACATACTTATTACATGTACATCATTAGAGTGTTCTGAAGAAAGATTGTTATTTGGTTTAATATTGCAATAAATTTGGCTATTAAACCTTATGGAGGAAAGATTATTGTTTGTGTCTTTTTTGGGGGGCTGTTTGTTGAAAGTTTCGTGTTGAGAATTTGTTTTCTTTTGAAATGCTCCATGCAGTATAATTTTTATAATAGGCTGTTTTAATTCACCCTATTTCAATTTTATTGGGATGCCATTTTAAGGCATTTTGATAATATTGTTTTTGTATGCTGATAAACTTTTATAATAAACATAAGTGATATGGCATGTGAGACCAAGGTTAGCCAGATGAAGATTTCATGACAGCGGTACTATTAAAAGGGTGTCATGATGTAATGGGCGAAAAATTACGTTTATCATCAATTCATTTAATGAAGTCCGACATGAAATAGTTTCGGTATATTCATTGGTTATAAGAGTTCCACAGTACAACCTACAGGCATTCAACTTTTTTCTTGGATGAGATGATTTTGTTTATTTTCACATTTGCCAGTTCAAATGTCGGAACACTCGACAGTCTTGCCGATTTGAATTTCCTAAGTGGGAGGTTTCTCAGGTGCATGATTGAGTTTAGGCTTCATTATGAAGTTCATGTACATGCATATGAGCGGTCTGCATGTTTATCAATGTTGGACAGGGTGACATTGATCTGGGGGGAGTACAAAAATCGATCCATATGATTTGTACCCCAGTTGATACACTTAATGAAATAAAAAATCATGAAAGGAATGTGAAAGGAGGAGAAAGAATTCTTGATGTAATTGTACAACAAAATTGGTGTTCCAATTCAAATACAAATTAAGGGATTTTACTGATGTAAAGATTATGTCAGTATTCATGTTTATACTGACGTAATTGTTATCCGATATATGTTGGAAAAAATAAAGAATGAATAAGGATGAATATTCATATATTTAAATTGGCTACTCGACTTGGCGAACACAGCTAAAAACTAAATAATTGCGAAATAACAAATCCATTACGTCAAACAATTTTACAGCGACTGTAGAAATTCAGTTTCCACAAATTTTTGGACCATTTAATTTATTTTCTAACCACAGCCTTATTTCATGTAGATTTGATCTTTGTAATTCAGAGTAAAACCTGTTCGAGGCCGGTGGTATTCAAGATGGCGGCCTCCATGACTAAGGTCACGCTTTCTCAAATCTCTCTTGTTTTACCGCTGAAAAGACTTCTCTCGCGATGTGAAAACTGTTCTCGACAGTGGATAATGGGTCCCATGAGATGGAGGCACATGAAACCAATAACTGGAGTAGACGATACGGATTCCGTGGACGCAAATGTTGGCGATAAGTATGGTTTTGCGGACTTATTTATCATGTTCACGTTAATTTAAATAGGTTTTTACACTTACATTGTAAGGCTTTGATTTTTAAGCTCACTGTGAGCCCATGGCGACATGCATTAACCATATCATGTCTTTCAATGTACATGCCATTCATGTACTTATTTGTTCATGGACATGTACATGTACATGTACATCTGTGTATGCTCGCACAGGGCATTCGCCATGTTTGCCAGTTTTTGTTTATTGTAATTTGTGTACAAGTGATCATGGTTAGCAGGAGACTTTGTTTAAGTTCCTTTGTTTGATTGTTTCTGCATGCTGTTTGACTCAGGCAATCCATGCTTACATACTTTGCATATTCCTGCTGGATTCTATTTTGGTAAATTTGATCAGAGCAATTTATATTGAAGTTTTTGGTCGATAAAGAGATTGATGTCATCTGTGAATCGTGATCTAAAAATAGCTCAAAAATTACGTCATCACTGCACAATCGAGCAGCGTTTGCATAGTCTGGTGTCATCACTAGGTTGTGGTTTGGTCCCCTCTCGACCTGATTACTAACTTGTGAAATATGCAGCTCAATCACATAATACCCCGCCACCTGCATGATCCACCGGCTATAGTATGAGGTCAAAAATGACATGCTGTTCTCATAGTATACATAGGGGTTTTCACCTTGTGCCCACGTAACCGATGATTTCAGGGGTGTGTTTTTGTTTTTGAGTGGCGGGTATTCTGCAATTAGCCTTCTCCAAATATACCCATGCAGCCTTGATAATACCAGTGTTGAATGTCAATCACGACAGTGCTGAGCCCACTGCCATTGTTCTCCATGGCCCTACACGTAAATTTTATCATTGCAGTAGACACAGTGCGAGCACAAAGTGCAAAACTCTTACAGGGTGGGGTGTGGGGCCCTGCTTGAGGGCCAGGAAAATTTTAGATTTGAGATGCTCTGTGCCACAGTCTGAAGCATTTCCCAGTCACTTTTTTTCTGACTTTTTGAATCTGATTTTTTTGTGTTAGCAACTTCAAATGAAGGGGGCACTTTTTTTTACAGAGCAGAACTCAAGCTTGGATAAGGTATTTTCTGAGATCAAGGACACCCTCTACTGGTTCTTGAGACGACAAAGTAAAAATGATATTATGGGGGAGATGGGAACCAGTCCAGAATTGATTTTATGTTCACACATGTGTATAGTTTTATTATAATGCATAATATTACTTGTTGTGTACGTTGTGTCGAGATCTGTTTGATTATAAATGTGCAGCACTGCTGAATATCAATGCTGTCAAACTCATGTTTGTTCCACATAATGTGGTAAACTTATTTGTCCTTCAGCTGTAAGAGTTGGGAAAAATCCAATGGGAAAAATAGCAGGGCAATGAAAATGTTAGCATGGTGGCAAAACTTCATCCAGGTGGCAGACAATTTTGGAAAGGCAGCCCGCCTTCCTATCAAACCCCTCATGGAGAATACTGCATGTGTCTGCACCTCAGAAAAGCTGATAGGCAAGGTGTCTTTGTGGATCACTGATCTCAACAGATCACTTGTCTCAATAGAATACTCATAGTATAGATCTCATAGTGGTTGAATCATTGTGAGTTGTCTGAGCTTTAACAACATGCCAAACTTCATGTACAGTGTATGTTGTACTCTACATGTACACTGTACCTACATTTATCATTAATGTTGTGTTTCTAGTCGAATAATAAAAAGTGTTATCTTATGTGAAAGGATTGGTCTTTTGGTGTATTACTTATGGTTAATTTTGTCTGTAAAAGCAAGAATTGTTAATGTATGACAAGTTCTGTCACTGTAGAATAGCTAGATACATGTACATGTACATGTATGAAAGGATATTTTTTCTCTCAGAGTGCGAAATTTGGTAAGATTTCCCTTTAGAAGCAAATGCTCTGTAGACCAATGA